GACGATAAGGGGAGACATGACGCGCTACCTTCGGCGCCGCGCATCGGCATCGTCAACGGTCGACCTGCCGCATCTTCTGAGGATGGCGCACCTGGTATGCAGAAACCGGCGCATGGTATGCAGAAAACGGCAGGGGAGCAGTTGACAGGGGAGCAGATCAGCGGCAGCACGTCGAGCAACGTTGTGGAGGTCATCGGCGAAGTTGCAGGGGAGTCATCTAGAGACAGTTCTTCGAGCGACTTAGTGGAAATCAAGCCGCCGACACGGCATTCCACCCGCTCCAACTTTGGTGTGCCTCCAAAGAAATGGGCCGATGTGTGCCCGGTATTCGCTAACACACTTCTCGATGATGCAAATGCGGCTACCACGCTGCCAGAACTGGATCCCGATGTGCCCGCTAATCCTGAACGCCGGTGGGATATCGGAACGATGACAGTCAAGGAAGCGCTTGCGAGCTGGAAGGGGAAGGCGGTGAAAGCGGTAATGGACGAGGAGATGCGTAGCATCCTCACCAATGGAACATGTGAGTTGGTGCCTCGACCGTGCTGCGTCAATGTCATGAAGAACCGGTAGGTTCTTACGACAAAGTACAACGCTGACGACACGGTCGCTCGCGAGAAGGCACGGCTCGTCGTAAAGGGATTTACGCAGATTTATGGCGCTGATTACAATGAGACGTATTCCCCGGTTGGCAGCTACGTCGCACTGCGCATTTTCCTCTCTATCGTCCCAGTACTCGATCTACACATCATACAAGGACATGAAAAACGCATACCTGCAGAGCAAACTGGACCGCGTTCTGTACATGGAGTAGCCATCGCACTACAACGACGGTACATCTCGCGTCTGCAAGCTTCTGAAAAGTTTGTACGGGCTCAAACAGAGCCCCCTGCTGTGGTATTCGGAACTCGACAACGTACTCATTGGCGGCGGATGGAGCAAGAGTCAGGAGGACGAAGCGCTCTACTTCAAGTTCGGTGCTGATGGAGTCAGTTGCTGCCTGCTCGTCTACATTGACGACTTGCTCGCAGCAAGTAGCAGCCTCAAGATGCTGAAGGACCTCCGTGAGCTTCTGCAAAACACATTCGAGCTGCGGAAAATTACCCCCGTGCAGAAGTATTTGGGGCTGGAGATTGTGCGCGACAGGTCTGCGCGAAAGCTGTGGCTGTACCAAAGTGCATAAGTGGACAAACTACGTCGCCGTTTTGTGGGCGAAGAGCAGACAGGTCGTCGCCCGAAAATGCCTATTTCGGTCGACGCGTACACCGAGCTAACATTTGATGACGGGGAGTATCAGGCTCGTGTAGAGGAAGAGCATCGCCAGAAAGTAGGTTCGCTCCAGTTTGCCGCAACCACGACCCGTCCTGACATCGCATACGCATGCAGCAAGTTGGGCTCGGGGTTGACGATTCGCAGTGACCAGCACTGGAGGGAGCTGGACCGCTGCATTGACAACGTGGTGGACACCCGCGATTTCGCCCTCAAGTTTGGTGTTGGACTGGATACTCTGCGCCTGGTGGGGTATGCGGATTCCGATGACGCGGGTGACCGACAGACGCGCAACAGTACTAGTGGATACGTTTTTGTGCTTGGCGGAGCTGCAGCTTCGTGGGCAAGTCAGAGGATTAAGTGCATGACGTTATCCTCAACGGAGTCCGAGTACATTGCAGCAACGGAGGCCGGCAAGGAGGCACGCCGTTTGCGCTTTCTTCTCGCCGAATTTCGGCTTCTAGATGCTGGGGTGCCGACCGTCATCCACGTGGACAACTCATCTGCGATTGCGATTGCGGAAGGGTTAGGGCTCAAGGGGAGACTCAAGCACATGGAGAGGCGGCACATCTGGCTGTAGCAGATGGTGAAGCGCAACAAACTTGGGCTTACGTACATCCCAACAAGCGAGCAGCCCGCGGACTATCTCACGAAGGCATTGCATTCTCCGGCATTCAAGCGCTGCTCTGTTGCCGTTGGGCAAGTCAATCTTGCAGAAGATGCGCGTGACAACGCTTAGGATTAGGTGCCATGTCCTTCAACATCGCTGGTGCGGTGAGTATGCGTGTGCGGAAAACACGCGGACGAGTATCAGGATCGTCACCCTGTTGTACTGTATTATTTCCTTTCGTTTTGTGTGGTGTGATAACTCCTCAGTTGCCCAGGCACGAGCAGGGCAGGGGAGTGTTAAGGCGAAGCCCTGCACGCGCTTGGTCTCGCGTGTAGCAGCCCTATGCGGAGTAGTGAGACTTCGCATACCGAATACCGGTTTCACCTGTATTGCGGTATTTGCCATATACACTCCAATCTGTGCAATTCGCTATGCACAATCCGACATTGGACCAGGGAAGGGACGACATTGCACAAACGCGTATGTGCAACTGTCAGTGTTGCAAGAACCTGCGCAACTACTCCTGGGCAGGTAGAAATTCACCTGATGGTATTTTCACCTAGCGGTGCCAACCTGGAACCGCATACTAGAGTAGGTGCTTGCACGTTCTTCTTGAACAACATTCTTCATGTACAACGTATTCGTAGAACGTTTTTGCACACGTCACTATGCTTCTCTATAAGGTTCATGTTGTTTTTGTTGTAGTCAATCAATTAATGAAGTTATTTCTTTCCGTTACTGCATACCAAGTTGGCATCAGTATTCGGTTTCCACAAGTCGGAATTCGGTTTACAAGTATCCGCTTTGCAACTCTGCGCCTAGGCTCTCCCACAATCGCCTATTTTCCGCACATGTATCCCACTTGCTCACACAGCGCCAGAAACCCGCTGGTGTAATATTGGACGGAACTGCGTTGGCGCCAAGTGCGGAGCTCTGACTCGCCGCGATCGAAGCCGCGATTGGCTCAAATCGAGCGCGCAGACCTGCGCACCACATTAGGGAACCTCCACGAAATACGACGGCGCACAGGGTCCGGTTTGTCCTTCCCGTGTCGGTAGAGTCGCGTAGTCGTTCGGCTTTGTGACGATGACACGCCACCAATCCATGGCGGGTCCTCGCAACAGTGATACGGCGTAGCGAATCTTCGCCGTATCCTCCGAGACGTAGTTGGCGTAAAAAAACACGTTCATCATGAACAACCACGCCTGAACGGTTGGACCATCCCGTTGACTCGGGTCAAAACATGGCGGACGCTGCGGCTTCAGCGGCATCGTTGACGGTAGTGCCGAATCGTTGGTCGGTGCCGAAATCGTGGCGCGAGGCTGGTTCCTGGCCGCATTCGTCGCTTCGGGGTGTGTCGTGCCGTGGTCGTCGTCGTCTCCGTCATGGCGGACGACGCCATCATTGGCTGCGCTCGCGGGTTGCCCCAGACTTCCTTGTTGCGATGCCTGTGGTGCGGGTTGTCCCGGAGTGCCAGGTGCTTGTGACTGTACTTGTTGTGCTCGTGCGACGTCATTTTGCAGGGACGTGCGTTCCGTCGTCAGCGCCGCGATTTCTTCCGTGCTCTCATGCAGTTGGCGCAGCAATTCATTCAGGCGGTCCTGCGTAAGTATAGTGACGTCGATATGTTCAGCCATTGCGAAGGGTGTCGGCTCAGATTAGTCTAGGCGCAGTCGTGGTTGCACGCGTTTATGAGAGAACGCGAGGACAGCGGCTCCTAGGTGCTAAGGGGCGTGAGTCCCTTCGAGTGAAAAATCAAAAGTTGATTTCATGGGGTGCGGAGATGCGCGGTCCGAAAGAAAGTGGCTCTGATAACCAAGTGTTACGGGTGCAATGGATCGAGGTAGCGAGGATTCCACTCAAGGTGTCAAATTACTACAAAATGTGAGAAGGCATGAGCGAACATTTGTATGCGAAACATGGAAACGGTAACGCGGTGCGTGCGAGCTAGCTAGTGCTAGGCTGGCATCGAAGCTCGGGCTAGTCCCGAAGCGTAGGCCGACATGGCCGGGCCAGCGGTGCATGGTTTGGTGAAACAGTTCGCGCGAAGTCGGCGAAGCCCCGTTAGCAGTAACGGGCGAACAACGGCTGCTGCTGTACGCTATGTTGGAGGTAAGGAATGTCAGAGAAAATTCCTTACAATAATGGAGAGTCCATCAGAGTAGAACTTTGGTGTCAAAACGATTCTTGTGTGGAATGCTATGGCGGGGGAAGAGGCCGAGGAGGAGGGTCAAGACCAGGTACGCCCCAAGCCGAGGAGGTTCGCCTTACATACAAGCCCAAACCTGTTTCGTTTTGCTTTGATAACAGCCTGGTAGGCTGTGGTGGTTACAGGTCAAATCTATTTGCCACCTGGCCTGTTCCTCCGCACGAGCCACCTGCGATTGGCCTCACCCAATAGTCAGCCCCAACCTCTGGGAGCCCCCAAGTCGAAGCGCTCTAATCGTAGACCGTTCGATAGACGATATCATAACAGAGTTCATCTTAGGAGTTCATCTCTCGTGCCCTGAGTCTCACCTCACCAACCAAGCAGCAGCGCTCTCCAGCTGTGAATCTCGCCTTGTGACAGCAGCGCACCGCAACCTTTCATCACGTTGGAGAAGGTGGTGGTTGACTCGGTTCGGAACGGTTTAGAACGGGAAACAACAAAATGTATCGGTTTGGAGAGATGCCACCACAATCAGGTACCCACCACACACCAACAGCATGTCTCCTCTCCACAATCCCAAGAAGCATTTCGTCAGGAAATGTTTCGTCTTTCAAGGCTACGCTGTCAGGATAATTTCAAGGTCTAGAGTGCTTCAGGCCTGTATTGTGTGCCAGCATTGAATGTGACGAGCATATTTTATTCTTGTTTTGTTGGAGCCAGACGTTTTCCCAGGTCTGGGTTGCTAAGTTCCTTCGCGGATTTCTGACTGAATACTCCAGTGTTGAACTTTGGCGCCTGTGCACTTCTCGTATTTGGGTTCTCCATCCTCCGCTTTGTCAGACGCATATGTTGACATTTTCCTAGGGTTGACTACAGCTTTCTCTTCAAAGTTGAGTCAAAATGAACCGCGCCAAAGCCGGTCGCAAAAAGGCCGAAGGGGGTGCCAGATCGTTGATCCCCTGTATAGTCTTCCTCATTTCCGCTGCGTGCGTCATTTTGGTCATTTCGTACACCGGCGCAAACATCGCCACTAAAACATCCGCGCAGCCCGGCGCAAAGAACCCGCGCGGAGGCGGGGAAAGCGCGGACGTCATGGAGGAAGGCGGGGGGGAGGGTGATGACGCGGGGGAAATTTCGTTCGTAAAGGGTGGCGTAGGCGCGGCGCCATTCCTGCCGGATTTCGATCTGAGCCGTCCAGTGGAGCACGGGCCGAAGGGGAAGCGGTTGAGTAAAGAGGAGCAGGAGTACGTGAGCGCGGAGGCGGAATACCAGGTGAGAAATAATGTTTAGCCCGGAATAAAAAATCGACATTTCGGGAAATGCATCAATATGAGACGGTCTGATCGGCAATGCGGAGGAGCAGGAGTGTGTGAGCGCGGAGGCGGAATACCAGGTGAGGAATCTGAAGTTATGTTGGATGTTGTTCTCGAAGCGTCGATCTGAGACAGCCCGATGACGGAAAGATGAATTCAGAGCAAGAGTAGGTGAGCGTGGAGGCGGAATATCAGACGAAAATCGCGACTCAATTCGTACGCGTCTAAATGCGCCGATTGGATACATTGTGAGGGAGATGGAGGAGGGGAAAATGTGAGCGCGGAGGCGGAACACCAGGCGAGAACTAGGAATAGTGCCAGTTACAGATTGCGATATCAATGTATATGTGTCAAAGTGTCACTGTCAGGTCAGGGTTATTTTCAGGGAGAAAGGAACTGTTCGGGTGGGAGAGTAAGAGGCGCTGGCGGTGGAAAGACGGAGCTTGATTTAGATGTCAGATATCAGTGTCTTGGGAGGAACGAATCTTGCAGGTGTTGCGTTGCGTGGCCTTATGTGTGTCAATGCTACATGCACCTTCACCTTATAGGTTATTGTTGTGACTTTTGAGTCGACTCAAAAGTCTTATGTGTGTCAATGCTACATGCACCTTTACCTTATAGGTTATTGTTGTGAATTTCATTGTCCGCTTCCACCAAACCCCCTTCCCCCCCCCCCCTCCCTCCCCCCAAACCCCCCTCCACTCCCCTATCTTCCTTTCTCCTCCGCCTCCTTCCCCAGATGCGTCTGGCGCGGCGGAACGAGCTGACAGGGGGCAAGCGCCCCGAGCCGCCGTTCCCGCGGTGGAAGCCGGGCAAGATCAAGGAGGTGTTCCTCACGCCCACCTACCCCTGCAAGCGCGCCGAGCGCCTGGGGGGCACGGGGGCGGACGGAGAAGGCGGAAAGGTGAGGGGGGCGGACGAAGGGAGGGGCAAGGTGAAGGTGGTTGGTAGGTCTGATCTGAGTGTGATGGATGATGGTGAGAAGCAGCCCTGGGTGGGAAAGGCCTTGATGGGAAGCCGGGCAAGATCAAGGAGGTCTTCCTCACGCCCATCTACCCCTGCAAGCACGCCGAGCGCCTGGGGGGCACGGGGGCGGACGGCGAGGGGGAAAGGGGCAGATTTGGTGTTGATGGGGTAACTCTACTGGTGGAGAAGGCCAAATGGACGAGTGAGAGATGAAATCTGCCCTTGAAATCTGTTTCCTTCTCCTTTTGCCCTTGACCCTTCCTCACTATCGCCTTCCTCCCCCTCCGCATCTTCTCTCAATTTCCAGTCTACCTCTAAATCCCCTCCCCGGTCCCTGTCCCCATTACCCCGTTCCCGTCCTGCCCCACCCTGCCCCCAACGCTGTTCCCCCTCTCCCCTGTCTTTGTCCCCGCCCGCCCCCGCCCCTGTTTCCCCCACTGGCAGTGGGTGTGCAACATCCGGAAACTGAGAGGGGGAGGCAGGAGGCCTATCGTGTTCCCATGCCCTTATCCCGTCCCGCCCTGCCCCTGTCCCCATGCCCCGGTTCCCCCTCACCCGCCCCGGTTCCCCCTCACCCGCCCCTGTTCCCCCTCACCCGCCCCGGTTCCCCCTCACCCGCCCCTGTTCCCCCTCACCCGCCCCGGTTCCCCCTCACCCGCCCCTGTTCCCCCTCACCCGCCCCGGTTCCCCCTCACCCGCCCCGGTTCCCCCTCACCCGCCCCTGTTCCCCCTCACCCGCCCCGGTTCCCCCTCACCCGCCCCGGTTCCCCCTCACCCGCCCCTGTTCCCCCTCACCCGCCCCGGTTCCCCCTCACCCGCCCCTGTTCCCCCTCACCCGCCCCGGTTCCCCCTCACCCGCCCCGGTTCCCCCTCACCCGCCCCTGTTCCCCCTCACCCGCCCCGGTTCCCCCTCACCCGCCCCGGTTCCCCCTCACCCGCCCCTGTTCCCCCTCACCCGCCCCGGTTCCCCCTCACCCGCCCCTGTTCCCCCTCACCCGCCCCGGTTCCCCCTCACCCGCCCCGGTTCCCCCTCACCCGCCCCTGTTCCCCCTCACCCGCCCCTGTTCCCCCTCACCCGCCCCTGTTCCCCCTCACCCGCCCCTGTTCCCCCTCACCCGCCCCTGTTCCCCCTCACCCGCCCCTGTTCCCCCTCACCCGCCCCTGTTCCCCCTCACCCGCCCCTGTTCCCCCTCACCCGCCCCTGTTCCCCCTCACCCGCCCCTGTTCCCCCTCACCCGCCCCTGTTCCCCCTCACCCGCCCCTGTTCCCCCTCACCCGCCCCTGTTCCCCCTCACCCGCCCCTGTTCCCCCTCACCCGCCCCTGTTCCCCCTCACCCGCCCCTGTTCCCCCTCACCCGCCCCTGTTCCCCCTCACCCGCCCCTGTTCCCCCTCACCCGCCCCGGTTCCCCCTCACCCGCCCCTGTTCCCCCTCACCCGCCCCGGTTCCCCCTCACCCGCCCCGGTTCCCCCTCACCCGCCCCGGTTCCCCCTCACCCGCCCCGGTTCCCCCTCACCCGCCCCGGTTCCCCCTCACCCGCCCCGGTTCCCCCTCACCCGCCCCGGTTCCCCCTCACCCGCCCCGGTTCCCCCTCACCCGCCCCGGTTCCCCCTCACCCGCCCCGGTTCCCCCTCACCCGCCCCGGTTCCCCCTCACCCGCCCCGGTTCCCCCTCACCCGCCCCGGTTCCCCCTCACCCGCCCCGGTTCCCCCTCACCCGCCCCGGTTCCCCCTCACCCGCCCCGGTTCCCCCTCACCCGCCCCGGTTCCCCCTCACCCGCCCCGGTTCCCCCTCACCCGCCCCGGTTCCCCCTCACCCGCCCCGGTTCCCCCTCACCCGCCCCGGTTCCCCCTCACCCGCCCCGGTTCCCCCTCACCCGCCCCGGTTCCCCCTCACCCGCCCCGGTTCCCCCTCACCCGCCCCGGTTCCCCCTCACCCGCCCCGGTTCCCCCTCACCCGCCCCGGTTCCCCCTCACCCGCCCCGGTTCCCCCTCACCCGCCCCGGTTCCCCCTCACCCGCCCCTGTTCCCCCTCACCCGCCCCGGTTCCCCCTCACCCGCCCCTGTTCCCCCTCACCCGCCCCTGTTCCCCCTCACCCGCCCCTGTTCCCCCTCACCCGCCCCTGTTCCCCCTCACCCGCCCCTGTTCCCCCTCACCCGCCCCTGTTCCCCCTCACCCGCCCCTGTTCCCCCTCACCCGCCCCTGTTCCCCCTCACCCGCCCCTGTTCCCCCTCACCCGCCCCTGTTCCCCCTCACCCGCCCCTGTTCCCCCTCACCCGCCCCGGTTCCCCCTCACCCGCCCCGGTTCCCCCTCACCCGCCCCGGTTCCCCCTCACCCGCCCCGGTTCCCCCTCACCCGCCCCGGTTCCCCCTCACCCGCCCCGGTTCCCCCTCACCCGCCCCTGTTCCCCCTCACCCGCCCCGGTTCCCCCTCACCCGCCCCTGTTCCCCCTCACCCGCCCCGGTTCCCCCTCACCCGCCCCGGTTCCCCCTCACCCGCCCCGGTTCCCCCTCACCCGCCCCTGTTCCCCCTCACCCGCCCCGGTTCCCCCTCACCCGCCCCTGTTCCCCCTCACCCGCCCCGGTTCCCCCTCACCCGCCCCGGTTCCCCCTCACCCGCCCCTGTTCCCCCTCACCCGCCCCTGTTCCCCCTCACCCGCCCCTGTTCCCCCTCACCCGCCCCTGTTCCCCCTCACCCGCCCCTGTTCCCCCTCACCCGCCCCTGTTCCCCCTCACCCGCCCCTGTTCCCCCTCACCCGCCCCTGTTCCCCCTCACCCGCCCCTGTTCCCCCTCACCCGCCCCGGTTCCCCCTCACCCGCCCCTGTTCCCCCTCACCCGCCCCGGTTCCCCCTCACCCGCCCCGGTTCCCCCTCACCCGCCCCTGTTCCCCCTCACCCGCCCCTGTTCCCCCTCACCCGCCCCTGTTCCCCCTCACCCGCCCCTGTTCCCCCTCACCCGCCCCTGTTCCCCCTCACCCGCCCCTGTTCCCCCTCACCCGCCCCTGTTCCCCCTCACCCGCCCCTGTTCCCCCTCACCCGCCCCTGTTCCCCCTCACCCGCCCCTGTTCCCCCTCACCCGCCCCTGTTCCCCCTCACCCGCCCCTGTTCCCCCTCACCCGCCCCTGTTCCCCCTCACCCGCCCCTGTTCCCCCTCACCCGCCCCTGTTCCCCCTCACCCGCCCCTGTTCCCCCTCACCCGCCCCTGTTCCCCCTCACCCGCCCCTGTTCCCCCTCACCCGCCCCTGTTCCCCCTCACCCGCCCCGGTTCCCCCTCACCCGCCCCTGTTCCCCCTCACCCGCCCCGGTTCCCCCTCACCCGCCCCGGTTCCCCCTCACCCGCCCCGGTTCCCCCTCACCCGCCCCGGTTCCCCCTCACCCGCCCCGGTTCCCCCTCACCCGCCCCGGTTCCCCCTCACCCGCCCCGGTTCCCCCTCACCCGCCCCGGTTCCCCCTCACCCGCCCCGGTTCCCCCTCACCCGCCCCGGTTCCCCCTCACCCGCCCCGGTTCCCCCTCACCCGCCCCGGTTCCCCCTCACCCGCCCCGGTTCCCCCTCACCCGCCCCGGTTCCCCCTCACCCGCCCCGGTTCCCCCTCACCCGCCCCGGTTCCCCCTCACCCGCCCCGGTTCCCCCTCACCCGCCCCGGTTCCCCCTCACCCGCCCCGGTTCCCCCTCACCCGCCCCGGTTCCCCCTCACCCGCCCCGGTTCCCCCTCACCCGCCCCGGTTCCCCCTCACCCGCCCCGGTTCCCCCTCACCCGCCCCGGTTCCCCCTCACCCGCCCCGGTTCCCCCTCACCCGCCCCGGTTCCCCCTCACCCGCCCCGGTTCCCCCTCACCCGCCCCGGTTCCCCCTCACCCGCCCCTGTTCCCCCTCACCCGCCCCTGTTCCCCCTCACCCGCCCCTGTTCCCCCTCACCCGCCCCTGTTCCCCCTCACCCGCCCCTGTTCCCCCTCACCCGCCCCTGTTCCCCCTCACCCGCCCCTGTTCCCCCTCACCCGCCCCTGTTCCCCCTCACCCGCCCCTGTTCCCCCTCACCCGCCCCTGTTCCCCCTCACCCGCCCCTGTTCCCCCTCACCCGCCCCTGTTCCCCCTCACCCGCCCCTGTTCCCCCTCACCCGCCCCTGTTCCCCCTCACCCGCCCCTGTTCCCCCTCACCCGCCCCTGTTCCCCCTCACCCGCCCCTGTTCCCCCTCACCCGCCCCTGTTCCCCCTCACCCGCCCCTGTTCCCCCTGTTCCCCCTCACCCGCCCCTGTTTCCCCCACGGGCAGTGGGTGTGCAACATCCGGAAACTGAGAGGAGGGGGCAGGAGGCCTATCGTGTACAGGTGAGGTGATTGAAGGGGGTGGGGGTACTGAAGGGGGTGGGGAGCGGAGAAGGTGTGTGGGGGGGGTGTGTGGGTAAAGAGCGAAGGGAGAGTGGAGGGAGAGACAGTGGGCGTGTGACATCTCGAAACTGAGAGGGGCAGGGAAGAGGGAAAGGTGTGGGTAAAGGTTAGGGGAAATTAGGAAGGTGAGGGAGGTGGGGTGGGGAAAAGGTTGGGGGGGTGGTGATGGGAAAACCGAGGGGAGTGGGGATTGGTGGGGAAGAATAAGAGGTGGAAGAACCGTGTGAGGGAGGGGGAAATCAAAGAAAGAAGGAACAGGAAGCGGAAAAAGACCCTTTAGATAGATTTGAGTTTACTCAAAACTAGACCCTTTAGATAGATTTGAGTTTACTCAAAACTAGACCCTTTAGATAGATTTGAGTTTACTCAAAACTAGACCCTTTAGATAGACCTTTTCCATCTCGTTTCCCTCTTCTCCCTCCCCTTTCTCCCTTCCTTGCAGTGTGGGCAGTGCAGGGGAAACCTCCTTCGAGCAGGCTGTGAGGGAGCGGCTGCGCACCAAGGCGTTCACCTTCGACCCGTTTCTGGACGACCAGCAGGCAGCAGCGCTGCGAGCCAAGCACCTGCTGCGGTACATCCCCATCGGCCTTGGTGCGGGCAAGCAGCTCTCTGCTTTACGGCGGGGGGCGCCGGGGAAGCGGTTTGCCACGCTGGCCCAGCTGATGGGGAAGCTCAACCACTCGCATATTGACGTTCTCAAGGTGAGTTTGTGTGCTCAAACGTCTTATAACGAGGACACGAATTGATGGTTCAAATGGAGGGAGGGTGTGTATTGGCATGGCTTACATGAGGCCAAGCACCTCCTGCTCTACATCCCCATCGGCCTGGGCGCGGGCAAGCAGCTCTCTGCTCTCCGGAGAGGGGCGCCGGGAAAGCGGTTTGCCACGCTGGCTCAGCTGATGGGGAAGCTCAATCACTCTCACATCGACGTGCTGAAGGTGTGTATTGTCTCACGTCACGTCTTATATGAGCCCAAGCACCTGCTGCGGTACATCCCCATCAGGCTGGGCGCGGGGAAGCAGCTGTCGGCGCTCAGGAGAGGGGTGCCAGGGAAGAGTTTTGCCACGCTGGCCCAGCTGATGGGGAAACTGAACCACTCTCACATGGTGCGCCGCAGGATATAGCACCCCAAGCACCTCCTGTGGTACATCCCCTTCGGGCTGCCCTACTTGCCATCCCCCCTCAGCATGTGCCTTGCTCTGTGTCAGTGTCACCCCTTTCTCTCCCCATTTCGCTCCTTTGTCTCAGATCGACTGTGAGCATTGTGAGGAGCGGCTCAGGGAATATCTGCACACCCCCCCCCCATTCCATCAGCCCTTCCCTTGCAACACGTGACTTTCTCTGTCACTGTCCATTCTCTCACCCCCCCATCCCCCCTCCTTTCCCCCTTTTCCCCTCAGATTGACTGTGAGCGCTGTGAGGAGCGGCTCATGGAGGATCTGCTCAACACGTTTGGCAAGGAGAATCCACCAGCAGAGCAAATCCTAGTGGAGATTCACCAGTGAGTCACTCGTTACCATGTATTACCATGCAGTTACTGCAGCTCGAGAACTCAAATTGATGAATGGTACTAATGTAATATTCCATATGGATACACAAACACACATGTGATCTGCAATATCCTGCTGTGTTCCCTTGTTGGTTACAGAAGCACGAGTTTACTCATGCTCTATACCCCCTGTCCCCCACACCCTTCCACGCCCAATCAGGATTCGCCACGTGGCCAGGACCACGCAAGTCCTCTTCCCATTGGAGGACATGGGTTACCGCCTCTTCAATGCAGAGGCCAACCCACGCTGTAACAGCTGCTACGAACTCTCATTTGTTCATGAAAACTTCTTAAAGCCCAAATCCATGTTTCCGACTCCTGAGGCTCCTGCTACTGCCGGTGATGCTGCTGGTGCCGGGGATGCTGCTGGTGCCGGGGATGCTGCTGCTGATACTGCGGCTGATACTGCTGAAGCTGCTGCTGATGCGGCTGCTGACGCTGTTGCTGCTGCCGCTGCGGATTCAACTGCAGAAGATCCTGCAAGTAATGCCAACCCTGGTGGCGATGCAGGGGGTGAAAGCCAATAACTGTTTAGGTCCAATTGATTTGGCGTTTCATTGGCTGTAGTGACAAAGAGTAGCAGGTAAAGTTGCAGTTTCAGGAACCAAGGCTGTAGTGACAAAGAGTAGCAGGTAAAGTTGCAGTATCAGGAACCAATAACAGAACACAGGCTTACAGGTTTCCAGAGTTAGTGACATGCAGTATCAGTAAGCAGTTATTTTGTGTCATTGCACAAAACTGTTGGTGCCAACACCAAGTACACTAGTTGGTGTATGACACAGCTCATCCGCGGATGAGGAGGATGGTGAAGAGCACCCGTATGAATCCTCTAGCGAGGAAGCCAAAAGCGATTCCTTGCTTTCTTCACAGTTGCGAGTGCCCCCAATACTGCCGAGTCTCGGGACTTCAAAACAGACAGCTCTTTTTGTGCTTCCCTTTGCTGACAGAACCCATGGATGCGACAGAACTCCATCAATGCTCAGTCTCTTCGTCGGGTCGACCTCCATCATCCGACGGACGAGATCTTTCAAGCCGCTCGACACGGACGGCCAAGGACTGACGGCGAAATCGACCGGCAGCAATTCCCTGCGTTCGTTAGGAAACGCGGGCCAGTCGGCGCATACCATCATGTACAGAACCACACCGAGAGACCAGACGTCGGCTTTAAAGCTTTTGTATACATTTGAAAGAGGGAGGTTCAAAAGTTTTGAGATTTGAAATATTGGTAACCCAATTACAGCTAGTTCACTCTCTGAACAAGGGAGGGAGATCTCCCCGACACCCAGCACTCGCTGGTGATTCAAAACTTTTGGGTCGACAAAAGTATACGAAATCCAGCCTACGTGAGATCTACGCCAGTACGCTCTACGGGCAGCATAATACGTAGCTAAGCACATCGCGACTCAACAGCCAGCGCAAATTACCCTCGTTTCCGACACAAACCTAGACGCGTGGGGCAGTTTAGTGTAATTATAGGGATAAACCAACGTCAGTTCCGCCCTCTCACGCAGCGATCCCGCGGGACCTCCTCTCACGGCCTCGCCTCGTCGTCCGTCGTGTCGCCTCACGACGCTGCCTCCTCACGCCACCGTGAACGCGTACGACTCGTCTCAAACTGCCGAACACGCACGATCACAGTCGCGGCCCGATCGCACAGCCTCGCTACCATGTTTCCGCACTAGCCCCGGCAGCCGCACTTGAGTGCGCGAACGACTGCATTCCAACCCCTTCCCGCCTCCTCGTTTCCCTTCTTGCCACCCCAATTCGCGTTCCAGCCTCCTCGTTTCCCCTTTCCGCTCCCCAGTACCCCTTCCCGCCTCCCCGTTTCCCCTTGCCCGCCTCCCCAATTCCCCTTCGCGCTCCCCGTTTCCCCTTCCCGCCTCTCCGTTTCCTCTTCCCGCCCCCCATTACCCCTTCCCGCCTCCCCGTTTCCCCTTTCCGCTCCCCATTACCCCTTCCCGCTTCCCCGTTTTCCCTTCCCGCTCCCCATTACCCCTTCCCGCCTTCCCGTTTCCCCTTCCTGCCTCCCCAATTCCCGTTCCCGCCTCCCCGTTTCCCCTTCCCGCTCCCGACTTCCCCTTCCCGCCTCCCCGTTTCCCCTTCCCGCCTCCCCGTTTCCCCTTCCCGCTCCCCTTTTCCCCTTCCCGCTCCCCGTTTCCCCTTCCCACCTTCCCGTTTCCCCTTCCCGCTCCCCATTACCCATTCCCGCCTCCCCGTTTCCCCTTCCCGCTCCCCGTTTCCCCTTCCCACCTTCCCGTTTCCCCTTCTCGCTCCCCATTACCCATTCCCGCCTCCCCGTTTCCCCTTCCCGCTCCCCATTTCCCATTCCCGCCTCCCCGTTTTCCCTTCTCTACTCCTCAATTCTCATTCCAGCCTGCACGTTTCCCCTTCCCGCTCCCCGTTTCCCCTTCCCACCTCCCTGTTTCCCCTTCCCGCTCCCCATTACCCCTTCCCGCCTCCCCATTTCCCATTCCCGCTCCCCATTACCCCTTCCCGCCACCCCCCTTCCCGCCTCCCCATTACCCCGTTTCCCCCCTTTCTCCCTCTCGTTTCCCCCCCTTCTCCCTCTCGTTTCCCCGCCTCCCCCTCTCGTTTACCCCCCTTCCCCCTCTCATTCCCCCCCCTTCTCCTCATTATTTTCCCTGCTTCTCCCTCTCATTTCCCCCCTGCATTACCCTTCCCCTCCCTGCATTACCCTTCCCCTCCCTGCATTACCCTTCCCCTCCCTGCATTACCCTTCCCCTCTTTTTCACGATCCTCCTGCCTTTCCCTCTTTTCCCCTCTCGTGCTGCCTTTCTCTCTTTTCAGCTCTCTTCAACAAGTGTTGAACAAATTATGACCAGCTAGAGCTGGGGACAACCCTCCATGTATCTTGAGTTGAGTACAACACACGTCAGATGTCGCATACAATGCTGTGCTGTGCCCATGTGCATCATGCAAGGATGCTGTACGCAAAGAAGGGAAGTTGTGTCTAGGTACAGTCATCAACATTTCCAATGTATTATGACATGCTATGCTATGCTATCAATTCACTTGATTGATACGCTAACAGCACACACAAGCTGGAACTTCCTGCCTATTGATTTGGTTTCACTAAGCTGCTAAGAGCAGCACTCAGAATGAGAAGGCCTGATGTCCTTCGTGTCGTGCTGTTGAAAAAAAACAAACAAACAAACAAAATTATAGACAAGGGCAAGCTGCAGAAGAAACAGAGGGTAAGCTGGAGGGGAAGGGAGGGGAAGCAAAGGGGGAGCAAGGGTTGCACGGGGGGAAGTAAGGAAGGGTAAGCAAAGGGGGGAGGAGGGGAAGGACTGTGCAGCATGTGAGGGCGCTGCAGCTCCCTCACGCGCGCCAGCAGCATGAGCGCACTCACCTGCCGGCAGGGTGGGGGCAGGGAAGGGTAAGGAGGGGGGAAATGAGGGAAAGGAGAGGGGGGAATGAGGGGAGGGAGAGGGGAAAACGAGGGGAAGGAGGGGTAAAGGAGGGGACGGAGAAAGGGAGAGGAGAGGACGGATAAGGGGAAATGTGGGAAACAAGAGGAACGAGAGGATGAAATGAGGGGAGAGGGGGAAACAAGGGGACGGAGTAGGGGAAATGCGAGAAACGAGATGGGGAGATGAGGGTAAGGAAAGGGTGAATGAGGAGAAGGAGAGGGCGAAATGAGGGGAAGGAGAGGGGGAAATGAAGAGGGAGAAAGGGGGGAAGTGAGGGTGAGCAGGGGGAGAAATGAGAGGGAGCAGGGGGGGAAAATGAGAGGGAGCAGGGGGGGAAATGAGAGGGAGCAGGGGGGGAAATGAGAGGGAGCAGGGGAAGAAATGAGAGGGAGCATAGGGGGGAAATGAGAGGAAGAAAGGGGGAAAATGAGGGGGAGAAGGGGGGGAAACGAGAGGGGGGGAAGCGGGGAAATGAGAGGGGGAAGAGAGGGAAATGAGAGGGAGAAGGGGGGAAATGAGAGGGAGAAGTTGGGGAAATGAGAGGAGGAGGGGAAACGAGAGGGGGAAGGGTGGGAAACGAGAGGGAGGAGGGAGAGAAATGAGAGGGGGAAGGGGGGAATACGAGAGGGGGAAGGGGGAGTTACGAGAGGGAGGAGGGGGGGAAATGAGAGGGAGAAGGGGGGAAAACGAGATTGATAAGGGGGGGAAACGAGAGGGGGAAAGGGGGGAAATGAGAGGCGGAAGGGGGGAAAACGAGAGGGAGAAAGGGGGGAAACGAGAGGGAAGAGCGGGGGAAACGAGAGGGAGGAGGGGGGGGAATGAGAGGGAGAAGGGGGGGAAACGAGAGGGGGAAAGCGGGGAAATGAGAGGGGGAAGAGGGAAATGAGAGGGAGAAGGGGGGAAATGAGAGGGAGAAGTTGGGGAAATGAGAGGAGAAGGAGGGGAAACGAGACGGGGAAGGGGGGGAAACGAGAGGGAGGAGGGGGGGAAATGAGAGGGAGAAGGGGGGGAAACGAGAGGCGGAAGGGGGGGAAAGGAGAGGCGGATGGGGGGGGAACGAGAGGGAGAAGGGGGGGAAACGAGTGGGTGGAGGGGGGAAACAAGAGGGAGGATGGGTGGAAACGAGATGGAGAAGGGGGGGAAACGAGAGGCAGAAGGGGGGAAAATGAGAGGCGGAGGGGGGGGGGAACGAGAGGGAGAAAGGGGGGAAACGAGAGGGAGGAGCTCCGGGAAAATGAGAGGCGGAAGGGGGGGAAACGAGATTGAGGAAACGAGAGGCGGAAGGGGGGGAAATGACGAAATAAGGTTATGAGCCAAGCAGCGCGTGAGGCAAGTATTTTGCCGATTCGCAGGTGAGGCATGCGGCGGGTGAGGCGAGAAGCGGGTGACGCGCTAAACGGATTTCGCGAGCACCGTGTTTGGCGAGGAGCGGGTATCGCGATCAGCGGGTTTCGCCATCAGCGGGTTTCGCCATCAGCGGGTTTCGCGATGCATAATGGCGCTAGGCGAGAAGCCCGCAGGGTGGAACGCGACGGCTCACTGAATAATTTATCGCTGGTTCGACGATTGCATCGCAGCGAGCCAGCATAATGCAACTCGTCGAGGCGCTCGCCCGTGTGCCGCATGGCATCGCTCGACGAATGCTACGCGACGGCCCATCCGAATGCAAACCGCCCCTGCAGCTAAAGGCTTTTGTATAGCCCCGTGTCCCCTTACCACGGGCGATTAGGTCAGGGTGAGTAGTTGCGCTGCTAGTTCTATCAAGGCCTTTCCTAGTAATTAGTTGCTTATACTTGCGTTTGTGAGTGTCGCTCAAGGGTTGGGTGACGGGAGAGTTTCTCGTGTTCCCACCCCTCAATCCTCCAAATTTTCGCAACCCCTCTCGCCAAGCCCCTTTCTTTTCGTTGGGGCGAAATCTTGGTGGCTACTGTTCCACCACAAACAGTACTTTCAAATGTATACGAAAGCTTTAAGATCGTGTCCCTGACACGCAAGCACCTCGGGCGCCTCGTACGGATATCTCCCGACCACGTTTCTCAATTCCTTGCCGTTGCGAATCTCCTGAGCCAATCCAAAGTCTCCGATTCGAACCTCAATATCTTCAAGCCCGCAATTGGACTGAAGGTGTTTATCTTCCGCCTCGGAGGGAGTTGTACGAGAAGTGGAGATTGCAGTAGCTTGTTGATGCTGGGTTGTCAGCGCAGATATCGGTACAGATTTTAGGGCCTTGGATGACGTCAGCAGGATGTTTTCGGGCTTGATGTCGCGATGAGCCACGTCGAAGTGGTGGCACCAACGAAGCCCTCTAGCAATCTGAAGAAATATGTGCCTCGCGATCAGTTCATCCAGGCCGTTGGTTTCCGCGATGAGATCGAACAGGTCCCCACTCGTGCAGAGATCCGTCATCAAGTAAAACGCATCGTCGTCTTCGTATGCTTCGCGAAGAGAAAGAACATTCTTGTGGCCCGATAGTAGACTCATTGTAGTCACTTCGTTGTAAACTCCTTCCATTTGGAAGGAGGAAAGCCCTGACTTGAGAATCACCTTGCACGCATGAAGACTTCCTGATGTTCGGTCGACGCATCGCCAAACCCTTCCAGAATTACCCTCACCAATTATGTCAGAAAATGTGAAACGCTTTCGCATCTCGCCAGCAGACGGCAGGAAATGCTCCATTTTTCAGGCGTCGCGCTGGATTTGCAAGAAGTTGTCAGAGAAAGAAGACGAGGGGTTGTGCAAGGGAACTGATTAGGGAAAGTAACGCAAAGGTGCTTGCAATTACCGCGCCCATTCACGAAATCAGCTGCTGTTATATAGGAAGTTTGAAATGAGCGGAAGAGCCGAGTTTCCTGGCGGAAGAATCATCGAATCGTCAGATCCCATGGCTGTCATATCATGAGAGAAATGAGAGAGGCACACTGGGACCAACGCTTGGAGCGTTGTTTCTGACTGTTGCCCTTTGCAGTGAGCAAGCAAGCATTCTTTCCTTTAAAGCGACGGTGCACATTTGCCACCCAAAACCCAGAACCCTGGCGAACTGTTACTGCGGATGGAAAGTGTCCGCACGAAATCCTGGTTTTCGCCAGCCAGCACTTTCGCGCTGGCAAGCCTGGTTCAAAAAAAAAACTTCTGAACCCAACACTGCCAAAAGTTGCCCGTCGCTTTAAAGCGACGGTGCACATTTGCCACCCAAAACCCAGAACCCTGGCGAACTGTTACTGCGGATGGAAAGTGTCCGCACGAAATCCTGGTTTTCGCCAGCCAGCACTTTCGCGCTGGCAAGCCTGGTTCAAAAAAAAAACTTCTGAACCCAACACTGCCAAAAGTTGCCCGTCGCTTTAAGCTTTTGATCTGGCGGCCAGCTTGCATACATGATCCGATTGCAGGTAAAGATTGCCCTCACATGTCCCATCGAAAACGGTAGTTTCCCCTCATCACCCCACCCAACCGTTCTAGATGGTTATCTGAACCCTGTTTACCGAGCTTCACCCGAAGGAGCTTTTGGGATGCCCACCTGAGGTTGCTGAAGGGGGACTGAGGAGACAGTGGATCAAGGCAGGAGGCGGAGTGGTGTGGCCGTGGTAGGCGAATTCGACATTTTGCATATCTTTTTGCGGTCTGCTGCGAAAGGACTTCGGTTCGGTTGATAAGACTTTTTGTTTTGCCCCACTGCACCACAGTGGTCGAAAGGCTGCAGCATGCGATATCGCGGCCACGATTCGAAAAAGGGCAGGAAACAGAATGTATGTCACACATTCTCCAATCGCCTTGCTGGAAAACATGTACACTACAGACAGGAACTCCTGTGTCTATCGTTGGATTGTGTTTGTTGTAAGTTGTAACGGATTGGTTCTGGTTCTCGATTCAAACGCCACCAGCAGCATGTCAGGGCTTGGACAGCTTGTCCAACGTCTTTCCCACCATGCTGAGTTTTTATGGAGACTTTTGTTCTGTGCCTTTCTGCAGCCCATGGCATCCACTCTGGCAGCAAGAAATGTCGCTAATGATCCTGAGCTGGATTCTCACTCTGCGGTTTTGGACATTGGTTCTGTGTCCTCAGCTCACTTGCATTATCCTGTGTCGGTTCGCTTGTCAATAATGGAAGATAGTACAAACGACGCATGCATTGTAGGTGTCAGAAGAAATGGCAGGAGTAGCACCAATGAACTGTTGGTGCTTTATTCTTGCCTTCAATATAAAGCTCCCCCTTATTCAAGCGTCTCCTGTCTGCGCTATCCATGGGTTATAACGAGGTTTCAAGCAGATGTGCGCAGGGCTCCCCTAATTTTGTCCAAAACCGCAGCACGGTCTCCACCGTTGTTGGAACCTTCTCCCTCATCCTCCACGTCAGACTTGCCCAGATCCAGAAACTGTTCATCGGGCTCTTCGGGAGCGGGTTGCTCCCTGCCGAAAACGGCGAATTTGCAGTCCGCGCGGAGAATGTCGGACACCTGGTAGTCCTTAGGGAAACCTTGAATCTTACTGTTCCAAACCGAATTCGATCCCTCTGTCTGCCTGGATTCCTCGGATCCTTGCTGCTGCTGCTTCTGATCCGAGGTCGAGTTCTCGTCTGCGGCCTTTTCAGCGCGAACGGTGTCCGTCAAAAGAGCGGATATCACCGAGTAGTCTAGGTTAGTCCCCTCCTCCATAGCCTCATCGCGATACATTTGTCCTAGGACGCCATGCACGTCCATGGAATAGTGCACCTGCTCCAGCTCGAGGTTAAGATGAACCATCGCGTCGCCGTCGCGCTGCAGCAGCGGGTGCGCGGCGCGCACGCGGATCTCCGCTTCCAGAAGGCCCTCGATGCGTATCGTGTACTTGTCCACATCAGCACTGCCCGGGCCCGACTTCTCGTGCGCGTCCATGGTGACCGTGGCCTGGCCGTCGAAGAGCGATAGCTCGTCGCCTAGCTGCTTGGGGGAAACAGAGAGAAAGAGGGGATGAGAGCGGATGAGAGAACCATTAGAGAGTGTGTGGTGAGATTCAGGGTTTGTTATTTCATCGGTACGTAGGAATCAGTAATTCAAACGGAAACTCACCATGAGCCTGGGAACAAGTGTCCCGTCAACTTCAAGGGCGGCCAAATAGCCCTCCCCTCGCGCCTCTTGCGGTCCGCGGCGCGACACAAATCGCATTGTGTGCACTGGCCTGTCCTTGCGCCCCTTCCCTGTGCTCTCCTCGCCTGCGACCGGTGCTTGCCACACGAACCCGAGCTCGCGGATCCAGACACGGGGCGTGGGCTGGTTGGCGGGGTTGGCGAGCGTGGTGCGGCGGTCGAGGTAGCCGCCGAGGCGCATGTTGATGTGAAGCTCGGGATCAGAGAAGAGGGAAAAGGAGCGCTCCGGGAGGGAGGTTTGCAGAGAGGAGGAGATGGCTGGTAAGTTCTTCTCCTTCCTGGGGGCATCGCCGTTGCACCGACCACCGACGCTGCAATGAAAGCACAGAAAAGAAGATATACATTAGTACCATTGCGGCAGTGCATCATGCAATGAAGCCGCGAAGACGGAGCAAGAGGGAAGAGTAAACAGTTGCAAGAGTTGGAAGGATAGCCGAGATACGGGTAACGTACTATGAGTTCGGGTCCTTAGGCGTGTAGACAGTCCTCTTGATCTCGGCCGAGTTGTCGCTGCTGCACAGGCTTGCAGTGTAGAGGTAACACAACCCACTTTCAACGAAGTAGTTCCAGTAACTGCAGTTCGCCTGTTCTCGGCACATGTTGCAGCAATCGGCTGGTTGAGCCGCCTTTCCAAGCCTCAGCCCGCCTCGAGCTGCAGGCAACTGAAATTTCTTGGACGAGGAAATATTGAACTTTCCGCGGAAAACATAACGCCCGCAGGTTCCAGCGCTGCAGGCTGCTTGAGGCTCCGCGAACGACGGACAGCTTGCTGCGGACGACGTTCTTACGGAAAAAATGAAGGTAGTCAAAAGAGCCGCGATCAAAACCGAGGTCCGGACAGTGCTAGCAGTGAGTGCCATTTTGTTCCAACGAAAACGATTTATGGCAGGCGTTATTCGCTCGATATAGGCCTTGAAGGATGAACTCGCCGTCACTAATGCGCGTAAGTTGCAAATGCTGGGCTCGCCCTTACGATTTATCTGCTGCTAAACAGATAGGTGTTGGGTCAAACAGTCAGCAGCACAATATGAGGATGAGCCTAACGTTCAAGCTTGAGCAATGGGCATTGGGCATGGCATGTGCTTGACTGCTGGGCGGTCGTTGGTTTGCGATTTGCAATTCGCGCGGCTCGTCCTCCTGCGCTGCGAGCAGTGAAGTGAACAAGCACTGGAGGCGCATCCAATTTGTGAAATTCCCAACCGAAATTTGGGAATGGAATTGCGCTGGCACGCGCAGCGAATATTTGAAATCTTGCCATGACGAAAATTCGCAGTAAGCGTTGACGAATAGAAAATTATCCGCGCGAAATCGATTCTGTTTGTGCAGCATCGATATAGTGTAAGGAAATTTCCTTTTCCTTACTTCGCATTCCTGCTCAACGCGTACATCACTGTAGCACCACAGTCAGCACCGTTACCACTCGCAACCCTCGCATCGACAATCCGCCCGCCACCTTCGCACGTCGCACCCCGACCTCACGGCTCGGCGGGTAACCCGCGCTCGGGGCCTCCGCTTCGACACTTTTCCCAACCTCAGTCCCAGGCCCGTCGCGCGACAACCACAGTCCATTACCGTTACCACTGTAGTTTCGCTATATATTCTTCGCTCATGCCTTCGCTCATTGTACTCTTGCTTCGATAGTGCAATTCTCGTTCGTTCGCTCAATTGCACTCGTAACACTTGGTATTCAGAGCCTACGATCTCTTCTCGGACCGCACCCACACCTTCGCTTCCCCACTATCTCAATTTTTGGGGGGGGTAGACGTCTCTCAGCGACACAGCACCGCCGCTCGTAGTGCTCTCTCGTAAGCACGCACGGCCACGACCGAGGCTCTCGCTGAGCTCGCCCGACACCCCCGCCATGGCCGAATTCACACTCGCCGCATTGACGCAGGAGCAGCTCGACCGTCTGGTGCGCCAACTTGAAGATTCGACGCTCGAAATTGCGACGCTCACGGCGGAACGTGACTCCGCGCGTCAGCAATCAACGATGAACACTCCTGCGCCACCACACGGACCGACAAATGCATGTGCACAATCGGACGAGCCGATCGTCATCTCATCCGGCACACCAACACAAAACACCAGCGTGGGACAACGCTCAGGCGCAGCCAGCGATGGCGTCGCCCAACCGATGCCTGGCATGGGAGGAAACAGGGTCGCACCAAGCCCGCGGGAGCCTCGCGAAGCCCGTCGGCACGTGGAGTTCGCGGCGACAAGTGGCGAACAAGCCATTATGGCACCAATACCACTCAAGCCGCAACGCCCGCCCTGCTTCGACCCGAGCCAGCGTGGAGGTCCGACGGTTCAATCGTGGGTCTTCACGATGAACGTCTTCTTCGACGCGAATTACGTCGAGTCGGACGCAGCGAAGATTCGGTATGCCGTTTCGCTGCTAAGGGGCCCCGCCATGGACTGGTGGCGAGTCATTGTGACGTCGCCACGCGCCTACGAGCCACCGTCGCAAGAGGAAGGGCCCACGGGCCCAGCTGTTACCTGAAGTTCATTCTGCGAGACCGCCCAATACAGCACGTGTGATGCGTGGTGCGCAGGGCTTCGGGCGCGCTTCGAGCCGATCGCGGCTTCTATTTCGGCGCGTCAGAGATTGCGCACTTGGCAGCAACTCGGATCGGTTCAAGACTATACGAGTGGTTTTCTCGCATTATGCGAACAAGTCGGCTACATGCACGAAGCGGAACGGGTGGACCGTTACGTCGGAGGGCTAAAGCCGGACATCTCGCACAAAATCATGCTACGCGGGCTCTCGAACTTCAACGAGATTCTCGCGCTCGCCGAGAAAATCGACATTTTACGCCGTCCGAGACCGGGGTCCTACTATGGACATCGTCCTCGGGGACCGATCGAGCACGCCACTGTACACGCTGTTGCGACGAATGCAGCTGCCACGCCGTTTAAGGGGCGCTGCTTTGCTTGCAACAGGCCGGGCCATCGCAAGAGCGAATGCCCAGAGGAGCTAAGGCGTCGCGGAGCAGAGCAGGGGAGGGAGTCTCCAAGGCAGGGAAACGCCAGCAGTCAGTAGGAATCGGGCCAACTACTGACGAGACTGCCTGCTCGCCCAACCCCACCGACCCTCACCGAGTCACAGTACCGATTCATGCCATCGATCGGACTCGGACGAATAAGGAGGGTACAGCGACGGATTGCCCAGTACTGATCCACGGGAAAATACAGGGAGCAGCAGTGAAGATTTTTATCGACGGAGGAGCAAGCCACAGTTTAGTTAATACCGCAACCGCACGAAAACTGCAGCTGACACTTAGCCGTTGCTTACCGGAGATAGACGCACGCTTAGTCGACGGCACGCCACTGGCCATACGGGAAAAGGTAGAGAGAGTCAAAGTCCGCTGCGGGGGAAATTTCGGGTTTACACAGGAAATGCTCGCAACGACACTGGATGGGCACGATATTTTACTGGGACATGATTGGCTGCGACGGTATAACCCGCGAATCGACTGGACGACGGGTAGCTGCACCGTGCGAAGTAGTGGTAACTGGGTCGAGCTAACTCGCTGGCAGTCGCCCGAGTCTTCAACGGTACACATCAACGCCATCACAATGAAACGGGCAGTCGCTGCTGGAGCTGACGTGTACGCAGTAGACATCGCAGTAGTAGAGGAAGCAGAGCAGCCGAGTGATTTTAAGAAACTGCTGGCAGCCGTACCGCCCGAACTACAGGAACTGTTGAAACGATACCAGAAGGACTGCCACCTCAGCGAGCACATGACCACCGAATCGAATTAGAACCGGGGGCACAGCCAACCGTACAGCGCCAGTTCAGACTGACACAGCCCGAGCTCGACGAACTAAGGAAGCAGTTAGATTACCTGTTAGAGAAAAAATTCATCCGACCGAGCTCGTCACCGTTCGCCGCACCGATACTGTTCACGCCGCAAAAAGACGGGGGGTTTCGCATGTGTATCGACTACAGAGCACTAAACAGGGTAACATTCAAGTCGCGGTACCCCATCCCCCGCGCCGACAAACTTATCGACCAACTGCGAACAGCACGGGTTTTTTCGAAAATAGATTTACGGGGAGGTTACCATCAGATTAGGGTCGAACCATCAGACTGCGCCAAAACAGCCTTCAGGACTAGGTACGGGTCGTTCGAGTACACTGTGATGCCATTCGGGCTGACCAACGCACCGGCGACTTTTCAGATGACCATGAACGAGGCGTTTAGGCCGCTCTTAGATAAATGTGTGATAGTTTACCTCGACGACATCCTGGTTTACAGTCGGGATAAGCAGCAGCACTTAGCAGATCTGGAAGCAGTGTTTAAGGTTTTAGACGAGCATCGATTACTGACCAAGGGTTCCAAGTGCGAGTTCTTCCAGGATATGTTAGAATTTTTTGGGCACGTTATTTCAAAGGCTGGAGTTGAAATCGACCCAAAGAAGCTGGATACGGTAAAAGCGTGGAATCCCCCGACGAACATCACGGAGCTGCAGAGTTTTTTAGGGTTCGTTGATTACGTGCGTCGGTTCGTCCACGATATGGCACGGTTAACTGCCCCACTGACGGACTTACTGCGGAAAGGGGTCGCTTTTACGTGGGGGGAGAAAGAGCATGCTGCCTTCTCTGCCCTGAAAAATGTTCTCTGTTCACCACCCGTCCTGCGCATCGCCGACCCACACCGCCCATTCGAAGTAGTTACCGACGCAAGTGACATCGCCATCGGAGCCGTACTGTTACAGGACTTCGGCAACGGCCTACAGCCCATCGCATACGAGTTACGAAAACTGCATCCGCCCGAGAAAAATTACCCGATACACGACCGCGAAATGCTTGCGATCGTGCACGCGTTTAAAGTGTGGCGCTGTTACTTGACCGGCGCAGACGTGACAGTACGGACAGACCATAAATCACTACAGTACCTCCGCGCACAGCCACACCTCAACCCACGACAGATTCGCTGGCTCAATTTTCTCGAGTCCAATTTTCACTACACGGTCACCTACAAAAAGGGAGCCGCGAACATCGCCAACGCACTAACCCGCCCCACTGCCCAGATCCATGCAATACTACTCGCCCAGACCAGCCCCCTACTGACAGGCCTATTTAACCACGGGTACCAAACGGATCCATTCTTCACAGGAGGAAATTCGCAGCAGTTCGCAGCAGCAAGGGGAGTCTATTACGTAAAAGCCGGGACCGACCGCATCTGGGTGCCCGGGTATACACTGCTACGGGAATTACTGTTACAGGAGGCACACGACGGAGTTACCTCGGGGCATTTCGGGGTAGAGAAAACACGGCAGCAACTGCAGACGTATTATTACTGGCCCGACATGTTGACCGACATACAACGACACGTACCATCGTGTCCCACTTGCCAGCTCATGAAATCATCACGGCAGCGGCCGGCAGGAAAGTTGCAGCCGATACCACCCCCAGAGCGTGCTTGGGAGCAGGTGACGATGGACTTCGTCACGGGGTTACCGGCCGGGGCGAGTGGGAACGACGCGATCCTGGTCGTCGTCGATCGACTGAAGAAAATGGCACACTTCGCAGCCTGCAAAAAATCAATCACAGCCGAAGAAACAGCACGCCTCTTCATCTTCACCGTCGTTCGACTGCACGGGATACCATCAGCGACCGCGACACGAAATTCACCAGCAACTTCTGGCGGAACCCGTGGCAGCAGTTCGGCACGCGACTACAGTTCAGTTCTTCGTACCACCCCGAAACCGACGGGCAGACAGAACGGACAAACCAGACTATGGAGCAGCTCATCAGGGCCACGTGCGACGACCCGACCACATGGGAACAGCAACTGCCACTAATCGAATTCGCGTACAACAACTTGCCATCCGCCACGACCCAACAGTCACCATTTTACCTAAACTACGGACAAGACCCGACAGTACCCATGACCCCGAATCCCGACAACCCAGTACCACGAGCACATCAGTTCGCCGAAGTATTACAAGCAGCACGGATCCGGGCAGCAGACGCAATAAAAAAATCGAGCATCATCGCTAAACGCAACGCCGACCGCCACCGCAGACCTGTCACTTACCAGCCTGACGACTTAGTTTTACTTGACACTCAGAACCGCCGACTGCCCATCACCCCGAAACTCCGCCCCCGATACTGCGGGCCATTTCGCATAAGCCACATGATTACACCCGTCACCGCCCACCTCCTCCTCCCTGCTGACTGGTACGTCAGCCCCTCATTCCACGTCAGCCTGCTTCGCCCTTACGTCCCGTCCACGAGCCAATTGCCACGCAATCGCCCAGCCAGCATGACAAGACCACCAACTGAACCAATCATCACCCCCGAGAAAATCCTGAGTCACAGAGTTCGCGACCCTCGAGGAGCCCGAAGGATCGAGTTCTTACTCCGCTGGAACGACCGTACACCCACCGAAGACAATTGGGTTCCCCTAGACAGAATCGAAAACCACCCCGTCCTTACCGAGTATCTGTGCAGCCGAAATTTCAGGGATGTACACGCACTTTCGTAAGGAGAACCTCCTTAGGGGGGGGGTAGTGTAAGGAAAATTCCTTTTCCTTACTTCGCATCCCTGCTCAACGCGTACATCACTGTAGCACCACAGTCAGCACCGTTACCACTCGCAACCCTCGCATCGACAATCCGCCCGCCACCTTCGCACGTCGCACCCCGACCTCATGGCTCGGCGGGTAACCCGCGCTCCGGGCCTCCGCTTCGACACTTTTCCCAACCTCAGTCCCAGGCCCGTCGCGCGACAACCACAGTCCATTACCGTTACCACTGTAGTTTCGCTATATATTCTTCGCTCATGCCTTTGCTCATTGTACTCTTGCTTCGATAGTGCAATTCTCGTTCGTTTACTCAATTGCACTCGTAACATATAGCGTTAATAACCTATTACAACGAAGCAACATGTCGAGATGGCCTAGTTGGTCTAAACCGCTCTGCAAGGACTCTTTGTATATACTGTAAATACTATAATTATTTACCCAGGAATATTGTAAATATATTATATTCGAATGCGCTGTATGAAGGTTCCAGTCCGAAATGACCTGGGTTCAAATCCTACTATAGTCATGTTTTCGCCAATGTGTTGCAGCTGCGGATTATGATGTAGATGGTGACTACCTTAGCGTATATTGTACACTCGAAGCTACCAAATGGACTCACTGCTGTAGCGAAGCCAGCTCCAGAAGATTCTGTCAGCACCATCCGTTTTTTATTGGATCCCCAGCCACACGTCAGCCTGTCACTCCCCTGTCCATCTAATTAGAGTTAATTCTCCCACGAATCCCAAGGCTGCCCGAGACACCTTTCCTTCTCCACAGGAGGTGCAAATTTTCCTATCCATGGGAACAGAAAAGTGCGTGCGTGGCTGGATAATTATCCACAACAGCAGTTCCCACCACCACCACCTCGCTGCCTTTACCTTGCCACTTCCACCTGGATCAGCCGTCTGCGATTGGTCGATCGGCAAACTGTGCCAGGAGGGAGGGAATGAAGATCCCTAGGAGGCTTTTCGAGATGCTCCTAGCCTGCTGCTAGCCGCTAATCTCGAGAGTGAGAATTTCCCTTGGGCTTTCCTTCTGCATTTCCTCTGAGATATCCAGGGATTTCATTCAGTTTCCATCCAGAAAAGAGTATTTTCACAAGCGAGTGCGTGGCTCTCTCTTCGCTCGTGTCGTGAAACCTCGTTTCCCTTGCAGATCTCGAAGTCTATTTATTGGTCCTATTTTCCTCCGTCAGTTCAGTGTGAGTTGGTTTTACCTGGCCAGAAATCCATTGTTGGTAGCCTCCGACAATGGAGACGAGCTGCATCTCCAGGTTATCTGCATCAGGACTCTTCCCGAGTCAGTGTCCTGTTCCATCTGCTAACAAAGCGTTAGAGTCGAGAACTCTCAGGACGCAGGCTACGCTACGGAATGTAAGCGTCTCTAAGTTGGCTGGCCCTGCGAGGCCGAATCCAGGTCCACGTGGCATGTCTCCGTCTGCAAAAGGTCACTGTAGGATTATGGCCGTCCAGTCTTCGCCTCTAGATGTCACCGCCAAAGATGCGAGCCCCCCCCAGCCGTTCGGTGCTCTAAGATCAACGGTGGCCACTGCTGTAGCGGCTGTTGTATCTGCTGCTGCGGCATTCCGGGACGCGGCAGAAGCAGTTCCGATAAACGTACAAGAAGCCGCTCAGCAAAGACACGCGGAGGAGGAACGGTTAGAAACGTCGTTTTTCGACGGCGTGCGAAGCAGAGCGTCACCCTCGCTATTGTCACTCGCTGCCATGTCAGCAGCGCCGCTGGCCATCCCCATCAAGAGCTCTCTGACCGCCTTCTTCTCCAACCTTCGTGCGAACCCCACCTTCATGTCGGCTCTTATTGCGTGGGCTCTCGCGCAAATCCTCAAGGTAAGCCGCAATGTTCGTTAAGCCTTGAAGCTTGGTGAGCCTCAAATATTGTGAAGCCGCGAAGCTCATTGATGCATTATTCAGCAATGTCCATGTTCCCACAAGCTCATGTTTCATGCCGTAATGAATGACACGGAAGAAGGCAGACATTCAAAACGAGTGGTAACAACTTATCCTGATTCGTTTCTCCCGCCATAAGTGAAAAATAAAACATTTTTGGCTGGTCCTCACTCGCTCGGAACAGTCACTTCTTGTTTCCTGACTCCATTGCATGACATCCGTCAATCACCCTTACCATCACCTTCCGGATTTCGCCCTGCCTGAATGTGACTGACGCTTTGCCCACCACCTCTCCCTCCCACCTTCTTTTCACCCTTTCCACGTCCGCTCTTTTCCCGGAATCCTTCCATTCCTCCCCATTCACCTGCTCCAGGTGTTCACGAACCTCTACTTCAAAAAGACGTTCGACATCCGAATGGTTGTGTCGTCAGGCGGCATGCCGTCGTCGCACACCGCCCTCTGCGTCGCCGTCACCACCTCCGTTGCCCTGCTGCATGGCGTGGGGGGCCCGCTGTTCCCCGTCTGTCTCGCGTTCTCCTCCATTATCATGTACGACGCCACCAACGTGCGCTACCACGCCGGCGTGCAAGCAGAGGTACGATCTTCACTCAATGTGCAAAGTTTACAGCAGCAGAGGTGTGTGTCAGAGGGGTGGGTAGTGTTGCATTGCATGCTCTTTATTGCTGCTGCAGAGCAGACCCCATCTGCCTCGTGTTCTCGCTCATCATAATGTATAACACCAACAACGCAGGTTCCAAGCAGAGGTACGCTCCTTGCTCCTTCACAGCAGACCCTTTATCTGCCCCGCGTTCTCGCTCAGCATTATGTACGACGCCACCAACGTGCGCTACCACGCCGGCGTGCAAGCAGAGGTACGCACTTCACCCAATGTGCAAAATTTACAGCAGCAGAGATGTGTGCCAGGCGGGTGGTGTTGCATTCCATGCTCTGTATTGCTGCTGCACAGCAGACCCCATCTGCCTCGCGTTCTCGCTCATCATCATGTATAACGCCAACCACGGGGGAGTGCAAGCAGAGGTACGCTTTTTACTGCTGCTACAGAGCAGAACCTTTTTCTGCCTTGCGTTCTCGCTCATCATCGTGTATGACGCTACCAACATGCGCTACCACGTGGGGGTGCAAGCAGAGGTACGCTCTTGATTGCTGCAGCAGAGCATACCCCAACTGTCTCGCGTTCTCCCTCTTGATTGTGTATGCCGCCAACCATGCTGAGGTGCAATCAGAGGTACGCTCCTTGCTGCTGCCTTGCAGGCCTCAAAGCAGAAACTAGAGCAATCGTTGCTGTGTAAATATAACCGTACTCAGTGATGTTAACTGACGCAGCAGCAGAGATGCGTGTCAGGTGGGTGGGTGGTGTTGCATGCACCACCGGTATTGTTCCTGCAGGGTGGAGTGACAAAATCAAATACGTGAACTCTCAGCAAGACAGGAGGGAATTGAAATCACGTTCCTTATGAGAGTTGAAGAGTTGGCTTTGGAGCTTTCAGCAGATGACCGAAAACTGATCATCAAACACAGTGCTTGACAAAGCCAGGAGCAGCCTCCTTGGATTCACCAGGAACAACATGCCAGTTCTCACGTACGTTTTGTTTTTCCATAGTTTTGATTCATCCACTGCCTCTTTTTGTGTCTGTTTCCCAGGTTCTGAATGTGGTGGTGGAAGAGATGCTGGAGGGCCATCCAATCAGCGAGAAGAAGCTAAAGGAGCTCCTGGGGCACACCCCCTTGCAGGTGGTTGGAGGCTTCATCCTTGGTGTTGTTACAGCCTTTGTATACCATTACAAGACAGGACAAATGTATGGGTGGGCGTGAGATAGGTAACGTAACTATAGTATGGGGGATGAAAATGTGAGATACGTCCTTCACATCCAGAAATAATTGGGTTATACCTAGTGCTTTCACGGCTTGCTTTTGTGTGTGAACTAGTTTGTGCTTTCCAGCTAGTGCCACTTCAATGTTAGTAACTGATGTGTCAACATAGATCAAGTATTGTGTAAGAAAGCAAACGACTTGAATGCACTAGCTCGATTCGGAACAGTCACGTCTCTTGTTTCTCGCACGTCCTTGTAGCACTAGAAACATCATACCTTGCACAACGGGATCGACGACACGTGGAAATTTGCTTCACGAGCCAACCACATCTGACGGCAAAAAAAAATCACAGTCGCAGCAGCAGACGAGTATTTCCGGACCCGCGCCGCTTCAAGCTTTAACGCGATTCGAAAGGAAACAAGCGACTCGGAAATGGGAAATCTCTACATGTCTCTGGCTCGGGGTTGAAATGGGAAATCTCTACATGTCTCTGGCTCGGGGTTCTCTTCTCTGATGGGGCAGAACATTCCCCAAGCCAAACCTTTCCCAACCCAAGCCAACCAAAACCATTTCGTCCAAACCATACCGAACGATGTCTGACCAACTACAACAAATCCACACATAACTCTATGGTAGCTACTGCAGTTGCTTGAACCGAACCCATTTTTGTCATGGCATGGCACCTTCACAGCATACCCATTCATTCCGTACACACCCCTCTTCCTGGCATCGTTCCCGCCGCGTCCGGCACGTGCGGTGGTACAGTGCGACACGCTCCTGCACTCCCTCCGTAATGGCTGTTAGTCCACGTGGAAGTTGCCTGTTCTGGCCTATGGATGGTCGCGACGGGAGTTCCCAAAACGTAGCGCGTCGCAGCCAATCAATCACGCCGAATTTCACAGCCAGCTGGCGTGGCGTGCAGTACAATCACTCGTATCGGATCGCTGCGAGCGTCATGACGCTATGATGGAGGGCAATTCCATGTCCTTATCAGTGCCGTAGTTCTGTTGACTATCGAATTAACTCAGAAACAAAAAAGTTAGGATGGATTGGTGATTTCAGTAGTAATTCATTTGCATTTCCAAGATAGCACTATCCTACTATATTCCTGCTTTGTTAAACGCCGCTCCTGTTAGTACATTTCAGCACACCAGCTCGTTCCTCTACAAGCAACCGGTTACTATGACGCGTAACCGGCAGCGTTTCGTAGTAATGCTGACGGCCGCCGTCAGCGCCGTCGCTCTCGCATCTCTCCTCCTGCCAGTAACGTCGGAATCTTCTCAGAATACGAATCAGCCGCAACAGCCGCCGCAGCAGGCGCCGCGATGGACGCCGCGTGAGCCGGCGCAATGGACGGCGTGCAACTACTCCACGGGGTGGTGGATCCGCAAGCCGCCATCAGCGCCATCGGCGCCGTATCGGTCCACGTGCCCGTTTCTCCAGGTGGGGAGTTTACCTTGAATCGAGTAAAAAGTCAACTCGGGGTGGTGTTTCCGCAAGCCGCCATTGCGCCTTCTGCGCCATCTGCGCCTTCTGCGCCTTCTGCGCCATCTGCGCCTTCTGCGCCATCTGCGCCTTCTGCGCCATCTGCGCCATCGGTCGACGTGCCCCTTCCTCCAGGTGGGGAGGAGTTGTACGACTCATAACAACGCCATTCGCGGCGACGGCACACGTGGCACACGTGGCACACGTGGCACCCATATCATCTGTATCAGAGTACGCACTGTACGAATGTCACGGCCGTACAAGGTCAAGGGTCGTACGTCTGAGCACCTCGCGGTTCCCGTGGTAGCAAGCTATCCGCATTGCGCCTCCCCTCCAGACTCCCCACCCACCCTCCCCTCCTCCTTTCCTTGCCCTCCTCATCCCCGCCCCCCTCGCACCGCACCCATCTCCCTCCCTCTACCACGCTCACTCCACCTCCCTCTCCCCCATCTCCCGTCTCCCTCCCCCCATTTCCCTCCCAACGATTTCCCTTCCCCCCATCTCCCTCTCTCCACAATCTCCCCCCACCTCCCACCGCTGCATTTCCATCGGACGTGGGACCCGTGAATTGCATCAACCGCCACCAGCTTTCCTCCCCTCTCCCCACTCCCCCCATCTTCACCCCCCCGATCTCCCTCCCCCCACCGCTGCATTTCCATCAGGACGTGGGACCCGTGAATTGCATCAACCGCCACCTCTCCCCTCTCCCCTCTCCCTTCCCCCTCTCCCCTCTTCCCCACCTCTCTCCCCCTCCCCGCTTCTCTCCCCACCTCCCACCTCTGCATGCATTTCCATCAGGACGTGGGACCCGTGAATTGCATCAACCAACACTGCCTCCCGTCCCATTCAACCAGCCTCCGGGTTCCCCCTCGCCTGCTTTCCGTTCCCCTCTCCCCTCTTTTTCCACCTCCGCAACTCCATCAGGACGTGGGACCCGTGAATTGTATCAACCGTGCCCTACGGCCCTCGCTCTCCTGGCTGGTAAGACCAATCTCTCCACGTGCCACGGGCCTCAGCATATGGTTTCTGTGTTGACTCACAAGTCACCTGCTTTCAACCTTTCCCCCTTCAACCTTTCCCCCAATTCAATCCCTCCCCCTCCTTCTTCAACACTCTCCCCCTTCCACTTCCCCCCCTCCTAGGGGTATCATTGGCAGCCTGCTTTCAACCTTTCCCCCTCTTCAATCCCTCCCCCTCCTAGGGGTATCACTGGCGGCCTGCCACGTGTCAAGTGCCAGCGTACGGTTTCAGGCCATACCACTTCCTGAAGATGATGCGGAACAGGTTAGATGACCCGGAACAGCTGAGTTGATACGGAACAGGTTAGGGAGGTACGCGAGGGACGACTGAGATGACACGCCAGGGTCTAGTGTTCAGCCAAACTAGCACTGTTTTTTTTTTTTTTTTTTTTTTTTTTTTTTACCGATTTATGTTATTCCTATTGCCTACTAGAAAATCTATGTCTCTTGTCGTATGCATCAACCTATCCTGCGTGCGCCAATTCTGTTTCCACCAACCCTCGCGCCTGTCTGCTGCCTTACTTCCCCTCTGCTCCCATGTGGCTCCATATACGTCACTCTCCTTCCCACTTCTGACTGCATCATGTGCACGGGACTGTATCGTGTAAACGTGACTATATCGTGCAAACGTGACTGTATCCTGTAAATGTGACTGTATCCAGGGTGATAGCATCGGTGGGCGATTCTCTCTCCTATCAGAATCTCATGCCATCGCTGCTGTGTCACATCCACGGCGCCTCACCTGTCACCGAGATTCCCAATGATGGTTCGCTGGCCATACAGCACAAACGGAGCAGAGTATATCGAGTAGAGGCGTACAATGTCACGCTTATAAACACGTGGAGCACGTTTCTTAATGAGTACTGGCAAGATGAGCAGGTGGGCAGCCCGTGTGTTTATCCATCTACTAACTATATCATTGTAAACATGTCGCTTACATAAGCATGATGCTTACATTAGTATGATGCTTACATAAGCATGATGCTTACATTAGTATGATGCTTACATAAGCATGATGCTTCCATAAGCATGTCACTTACCACCTCCCACCCCTTATTTCCGACCTCCCACACCTGCAGACCCTCTCGCGCTACAGTAGCGGCAAGAATCGCACGGACGAAGATTCGGTGATCAATCTGGATGGCGTCGATCCGGCGCTTGCCGCCCGGGTGACTAAATACGACGTGCTTATACTGCAGACCGCGGCGCACTGGCAAGCCAAGCCCAACAAATGGCGGCGGTACTTTGTGGATGGACAGGGGAGGCTGGTGTTCACTGAACGGCAGTACATTGCTGCTTTTGAGTAAGTGCATCTTCGCCATTTTAAGCGCCTCAAAAATAGAACAGAGTAAGTGCGAATCCGCATGCCTCATTCTTACGAACTTTTAGGTAAATCTCATAGAATCACTCCATGTATGCTGCCCTCTGCGACCCCCCTCCCCGCCCCCCCCTCGCACACTGTCCCCTCTGCTCCCACCCCCCCCTTGTCCCTCCCCCTGCTTCCCTCAAAGACAAGGGAACTCCCATGCCTGTCCCTCCCTTTTCCTTTTCCTTTTCATTAGCAACCCTGCTGAACCGCACCGAACCTGACATGCTTGCCTGATCCCATGCCTCTCCTTTCCCCCTTCATCAGGCCTAGTAACCAGGCGATAGTGACTTTGTTGAACTTAAGCGACCCTGACACCTCCCCTGCTGCTCGCACGCCCGTGCCCTTCTTTCGGTCTGCTCCCGCCCCTTCTTTCTCTCCACCCCCTTAACCAACAGGAGGGGTATGCGGGCGATAGCGAATTTGCTGAGCCAAAGCGACTCTGACACCCCCCTTGCTGCACGAACGCCCGTGCCCTTCTTTCTGTCTGCTCCTGCCAAAATCAACCGCTGCAAAAGCCACTCGCAGCCCCTCACGCATGCCCAGGTAGGTTCAGTGCGGTGGGTGCTTTGTAGTATGGAGCAACAGTGCGGTGTGATGCAATGTGATTCCGTGGGGTGCTGTGCGGTGATGTGTAGTACACTGTAAGATGGCTCACAAGCACCACCACAACAACTGCTTGTCTTTTCCTCTTGTTGATTTCTCATATCTTTCCTTCCACACACCCTTCTCCCCCCAACCCTCGCTGCCACCTCAGGTTCTTCAGACTCGTTATAAGATTCCTCAGTACACTCGGTGGTTACCTGCACAACAGCGCGCAGTAGCAGGCACGAGAATCCGCCTTCTAGACGTCACCTCCTCCTCTCTCTACCGCCCGGACTCCTTTGTGGGCTCTGGAGGGGTGAACAACGATTGTGTGCATTTCTGCCTGCCTGGTGTGCCTGACTCATGGGTTGACATGCTGCATAATATGTTATCTAGACAAGCGATTTTCCGGGTCCCTAAGGGTGCTCCAGTCCAGTAGTGTAGTCTCGTCTCACAGAGGGACTGGAGGGGTGAATGACGACTGCATTTCTGCCTGCCTGTGTGCCCGACTCGTGGGTTGACATGCTGCATAATCTGTTCTCTAGGCAAGCTATTTTTTGGGTTCCTAAGGGTGCTCCGCTAGTGTAGTTACTGTGTTAGGAAGATGTCCACCGGCATGTATTCAAAGCGAGACCAGTTTATCCATAATGCATACAATAAATAATAAGGGATTGCCTGGCTAAATGTCACCGTTTGTGTGGGTATGATCTTGCACTTCACGTGGAGGAGGCCGACGCTGCGACCTTTTAAAGAGTAAAAACGCGAGTGAGACAGCAAAAACTGCAGCCACCACAGGCCAAGTGAAGCTAGGAAAAAGCTGGAAAGGAGGACCGTAACGCGATTTGCTGGAGGGATGAAGAGTAAGTGGTTCGGCAGTGAGGGGCGGGGGGGGGTTAGGAGGACGAGAAGAGACATGTACACGCGTGGGAGGAGGTTTAGAGGTCGAAGGTGGAGGATTAAGGGGAGGAGAGGAAGGAGCAGGGGGAGAAGGTGGGGAGGGAGGGCGGAGACGGTGCAAGTGTCTTAAGAGAATGACGAGGGCAGCAGCAACTTCTGCTAGGAGGAAGAGGAGGATGAGAGGGAGTGGGTTAAAGGGTGGTTTGCTGCTCCCATTCCCACTCTCCTCGTCGCCACCACCACCACCACTGCGACCGCTGGAGTTATCACCACCACCACTACTGCCACTGTGGTTACCACCACTACCAGAAACTTCACGATTCGCATCACCCGCACCCGTGCCATCACCGCTGCCAGCATTGCCAACTCGTGCACGTCCCGTGCGTGAACCCACGCGGAGCCAGCATGCGTGGAAGGGCGGTGCTGTGACAACTGCTAGCCGGTTGCTCTGATGGTAGAAACGGGAGCACGCCGGATCCCCGTTTAAAGCAGCAGGAGAGTGAACGGTAGGTGCAGGTCGTGCAGAGTATGTACTCTCTATAGCGCGTACATCCCTACCAAGGAGCAGGTATTCCCTGTGCCGCATATTACGGGATTTTCCACGTGGCGAAAGGTGGTAGGCGTGCGACAGCCAGCCTGACGACTCGGGGCGCCCTTTGGAGCATCGGGATTGCCGATTGGTCAGGGAGATAAACTCCGGTATGGCAATATCGCGGCATGCTGCTGCTGCTGTTGCTGCTGCTGCATGCGCTGCCATCATTATAAATATCGGTCTATTTTACTCGGGCAATAAATTGGCCACTGTGAATTTAGGGCAAGCGCTCCTGTGAAGATGCTTCAGGAATGAAGTTACGGAACCCAATGAGAATGTATTATAGCCCTTGGAATAGTCCGAAACGATTCCGAGCGATAGAAATAATCGCCGGTCCGGGATCCACAGCTTGCGCTGACGTGGCATCTTAGCCGCGATGCTGGTGGCCTGGTTAGAGACACGCGGAGCGCCGCGCTTCCGTGAGCCTTGGGAGTACCGACGTGTGTTCGTAGAGCCATGGCGGGTACTAAGGTCTAGACACTAAGTAGCGATGCGGGATTGGACGGACGCGGAGGTGCGCAAGAGGAAAACTGGATTGCGAGAAGCGCGGCGTCTTTGACGGCAGGTGGCTTGTTTAGGAGACGAAACGGTACGAAATAGCTGTGCTGTTCGTTCTGTGGCGAATTCATTAGTGTGTACTCGGTATTGCGGGGCTCGTGTTGGGTAAGAGTCTTTTTTTTTGCAGTACAAGAGACAAAGCGGTACAGATAGCGTCCTGAAGTTACCTCAGTGTCCTGATAGTGTCCCATCCACACATCCCTCCTTTTTTGTCACCTCAGGTTCTTAAAACTCGTTATAAGATTCCTCAGTACACTCGGGGTTACCCGCACAACAGCGCGCAGTAGCAGGCACTCGACTTCACCTTCTACACCTCACTTCGTCCTCTCTCTACCGCCCAGATTCCTTTGTGGGCTCTGGCGGAGTGAACAACGATTGTGTGCCCGACTCGTGGGTGTTGATTGATATGTACCCTAGGACACGACATTGTTGAAGAACGAGTTAACTAGAAGCTAGGGTTTTGGAGAGGCTTAGCAAGGAGAATCATGGAGGGAGGAGTTTGGCCAAAAGGAGGGCTTTGATATTAGGCAAGAGTACAAGATATAGGAGAAGGAAGAGAGAAGAAGAGGGTACACCACCAGCAGTTGATGGTAATAACTAAACTAATACACTAGCAAGCTATAGGCAGGTATAAGATATGCAATATCAATTAACAGACATGTACCCTAGGACACGACACAGCTACTACTTTAGACTTGTGATAAGATTCCTCAGTACACTCGGTGGCTGCCCACACAACAGCGTGCAGTTGCAGGCACTCGAATCCGCCTCCTGGACACCATTTCCTCCTCTCTCTACCGCCCAGACTCCTTAGTGGGCTCTGGTAGGGTGAACAACGATTGTGTTCATTTCTGCCTGCCCAATGTGCCTGATTGTTGGGTTGACAGACATGCTTTATACGGGTTATATGTTCTCTATAAAATTATATTTCCGGGTCCCTACAGGTGCTCTGGTAGTGTAGTGAATAGAACGGATTGTGTTTACAGGCAGGCATGCTTGCAAGATTCGAAATCATTTTGTGAATTGTGCATAATAAATACCACAAGAGGGTAATTGCCAGCTATACATCGCCGTTTGTGTGGGTATGATCTTCTGCTGCATGTGGCTGCGACCTTTTACAGAGTACAACAAACACCAGTGAGACGGCAAACACTACTACTGGCAAAGTGAGGCTTGGAAAAAGGGGAGAAACAGGGTCACGATGAGAGTTGCCGGAGGAGGGTATAGGACCTGGTGCGCCGGTGTGGGGAAACAAGGGTTTACTGGGAGGAGGGACAGCATTTAGATGAGGAAGAGGAGAGCGAGGGGAAGGGGATGGATGGGGAGGATTAGGGGGAGGAGGGGAAGGATTAGGGGGAGGAGGGGGGGGATTAGGGGGAGGAGGGCGCGAAGCAGGGGGAGGAGGTGGGGTAGAAGCGGGGAGAGGGGATGAGGGTCTTAAGAGAATGGCGATGGCAGCAGCAGCTGTTGCTGCTAGGAGGAGGAAGAGCCAAGGAGATGGGTTGGAAGGTTCCTTGCTGCTTCCATCGCCCTCCTCCTCCTCCTCCTCACTACCACCATCACGACCACCACCACCGCCACGGCGGTTACCACCATGACCACCACCACCGCCACCACCATAACCAGAGACATCAGGAGTCGCATCGCCAGCATCACCACCATCACCACGGGTGGAACGGGCTGCAACCAATACCCACGCTGGTACCCACGCATACTGATCCTTTGCACTCCCAATGAGAAATGCTCCTACGTAACCGCCGGTCCGTCTCACCGCCCCTCGTTCTGAGGCGGAAATGGGAGCACCAGCAATGGATGTGACGGCATCCGGCCGCTTGCTCTGGTGGCAGAAACGGGAGTACGCCGCATCCCCGCTAAGAACCTGACGTGCAGGCAGGTGCGAAAGCTGGTAGGCGTGCGACGGCCAGCCTGACGGCGCGAAGAGTCCTCTGTTGCATCGGGATTGCCGATTGATCAGGGAGATCAACCCTGGTATGGCAATATTGCGGCATGTTGCCACCGCTGTTACTGCTGCATGCGTTCCCATCAGCATAAATAACGGACTAGATTCTCGGGTTAACAGTTGGCGATTATGAGTTTAGGGCAAGCGTTCCAATGAACGATGGAGGTGCTTAAAAAAAATGTAGGTTAGGAAACCCAATGAGCATATCTTCTAGCCCTTGGAATAGTCCAGAACAATTCCGAGCGATAGTAATAATCGCCGGTCCGGGATCCACAACCTGCGCCGACGTGGCATCTTAGCCGCGACGCTGGTGGCCTGGTTTAGAGACACGAGAAGCGCCGCGCTTCCGTGAGCCTTGAGAGTACTGACGATGAGTGCTCGCAGCGCCATGGCGGATAGTACGGTCTAAAAGAGTTAGTACGCGTTGTGGGATTGGGTCGGGGCGGAGGTACACGAGAGGAGAGCTGGGTTGCGAGAAGCGCGGCGTCTTTGGCGGCAGGTGGCTTGTTTAGGAGACGAAACGGTACGAAATGGTTATGTTGTTGGCTGTGTTGCAATTTCATCGGTGTGTACTCGGTATTGTGTGGCTCGTGCCGATATTATGATTCTTGTGCTGCAGCTTTAGGAGACGAAACGGTTCAGGTCTTGTTCGATTTATACGCGTTTGTGCCTTGAGATTCTCGAATCCTTGACAAATAATGAAGTTTGCAAAGCTACACTTGAAAGTGTTTTCTTGGGTTTGTCTTAGCCAGCTCCTGAAGTGAGTTCTCTCCGCCTGTAGTTTTCAGAAACGTTGCCGATGTGTTGTTTTCTACAGAGATACGTGCGCAGATTCACAGAATTGACTGCCAATACCATACGACGATATCGTTCCATGAAACGGATGCTTCCACCAATAAAACGTAGAGATGGATAAGCCTCCCGCGTTCAGAGACAACTCCTTGCACCACCGTAGCAAGCGGCCTCGTCAGCAAGACTCTCACGAATCGAATTCCACGTCAGGAAGGCGGTATGTTGTAGCCGTGCACGTGGGAGCGGGTTACCACTCCAAGCGTTACGAGCAGCGGTATCTGCGCGCCATGCGCGACGCCCTCGCAGCCGCGGAGCTGGTGTTGCGCGGAGCTGGCGGAACATCGGCGGAAGGGCAGCGAGGAGAATGCGCGGGGGCGGGAGAAGCAGGCCGATTAGACGCGAAGAATCGTGCATCTGCGCCGGGTTCGGGTTTGGACCGCTGCTGTTCGTCCACGTGTACGGCTCTAGATGCTGTCGTGGCAGCCGTTAGATGTTTAGAGGTGCGCTCACGTGTTTCAGTGTTACACATATCTGTGTGACCTTCTTGTGTGTTTATCCATTGATTCTGTGCGACACTTCTCGTCCTTAGCCTACGTTCTTGTTTTCTTCAACCTCTCTGCTTCACTTCTCCTCCGCATCTCCTTTTCCCTCCACCTATCTTCCGCCTCTCCTCTCTCCTTCTTCCTTTCACTGAAGAATCACTAATGTGTCTTTGCCCCCTCCCCAACCCACAGAGCCACAGTATCACCAATGCTGCCCGGGGATCCAATCTGACCGAAAAAGGCGAGGTGGAGTGCGATGCAAGCATTTCGGGCAGCATGTTGGGCAGCCGAGCAAAGCTTTTCGGCTCGGTAGCAGCAGCACCAGGTTAATGTTCCCCCTCCTCTAATCCCTCACGCACATTTCTCCCTATGATTCTTAGAGGTCCCTTCGCAGCGGATCAACTTAGAGGGATTCTGGGACGTGCTTTGCCGTTAGTCATGAGACGATTTTAGAGGCGCCTAAAAAATATGGGACGTGCTTTGCCGTCTTTGTTTCGTAGCTTCTCAGGGCCTCTTCTTTGGAACTGAAACTTTTCTAACTCATGCCCCTCTATGCGAATTTTTCTCGCCTTCAGGTTTAGTAAGCCCAGTGTCAGTGGCAGCAGCACTGGCAAGGCAGAGACACAAGGGTCCGCTTCCCTTCGGCCGCATCCCTCCCATGTGTGTCTGTGAGTGTCAGTGTTTGCAAGTATGAGTGCCTTTGTGGGTGTGAGTGTCCTGTTAAGAGTTTTTGTGAATGCAGGGCAGCGTGTGAGGTACTAATTTTATACCAGAGCAAAAGAAAAAAAAATCTTTACTTGAAGAGTGTTGAGGAGTATTTTGTTTTAGTCACACTCGCATGAATGTATCGAGGGTCCTTCAGCTGCAAATGCACGTGTCCCTCTGCATGTATGCGTCTCTGGGGTGGTTGCACGTCTGCATGACTGCATGTCTGCACTGCATGTGCGTGGCTGTCAGGATGTTGGCGGGGGAAGGAGCGCTGCTGTGGGCTCAGACTCATGCGCCATACGCCGTTGCAAGGCACCCACAGGTGTGTGTGTGGGGAAGAGTGGGGGAGGAGGGCGTGTGTGTGTGCGCGCGCGCGCGCGCGCACGCGCGTCAGTCAGTGTGCACGTGTGCTCCATCTTATCATGGATTTCTCAGCACCTGGGATGGCATGACCTGGTGTGGCATGGCAACAACGGGACGGCATGGCATGGCAGGATCTGGTGTCAGCAGCAGCAGAAGCCCAGTGCCGCAAGTGCAGGAGACTCGTGGGGGCTTTGGATCAACCAACTCCGTTGGAGTCACTTTTGAGAATTCTCACAAGTGACTGTGTCGAATCCTTTGTTCTCTCGGCATGGCAGGATCTGGTGACGCCAGCAGCAGAAGGCCAGTGGCGCAAGTACCGGAGAATCGTGGGGGCTCTGGAGCAGCTTCAGGGGAGAAAGGAGTGCGTGCGTGCGTTCAGGGCAATAGAGAAAGAAGAGGATCTGGACGAAGTGCGGACGGAGAAGGGTAGCATGGGCACGTGGGGGGAAGATGCCAAGAGGGAGCGCAGAGATTATGGGGGATGGGGAAAATCAACGAGGGAGGGTGATGAGGAGGATGTAGAAGGTATTGAGGGCATGGGAGGTGAGGTGGATTGGACGGGAGGGAGAGAGGAAGAGGGAAAGACAAGGGTTGTGGGAAAGGGAGAGGAGGAAGGAGAAGAGGAGGGAGAGGAGGGAGAGAAAGAGGGAGAGGGAGAGGACGAAGAGGAGGAGGAGCAGGAGGGCCCGTGGGACACAGTGGGGGCGGTGTGTTTTGAGGTGGCAAGCGGAGCAGCAGCAGCCGCGTCTAGTGGGGGAATAGCTTTCAAGGTGAGCGCCGTTGCTGGATGTGAGCTTGGGCTCCTCTCCCTTTCAAACCCATTCCTCCGACCATCCGTTTCCCCTTCGTTCTTGCACCCCCCTCTTTCTCTTTCCATGCCACCACCTCTTTCCTTCCCACCTTACACAGGCGCCTGGCAGGGTGGGGTGTGCAGCAATGCACGGGGCAGCCTGCTGGGCTGATGCCTCCATCAGCACCGCATCCAACCTACCCAAGTCATCAGCAGCAGATCCAGCATGCTCAGAGGCTGCTCAAGAGATCAGCGTCAGAGGCGATTTCCATGCAGCGGCAGTGGAAACTGAGTCAGAGCATGATCAGAAGCAGCAGCAGCACCAGCCGCAGATGCTTGCTGTGGCTGCCAGTGTGTCCGGGGCCGGTGAGCCAATCGTGGAGTGCCAGCTCGCACGGTGCGTGTGCGAGGCGGCCATGGAAGGTGGTGAGTCTGACCCTGCAGCGATGGGGATTGCCAGGCTCAATGCTCATGTGGCAGCTCTGTCAGCAGCATTAGATGATCAGCAGCAGCGGGGGGAAACAGAGAGGAAGAGGCAGTGGCCCGTTGCTTCCGATGTTGGTCTGCTGCTGCTCTCTGCTTACCCGCAGCATAAGGTACTGCACTGCACCCATTGGCCTCTCAGTCTTATTCCCTGCCCTCAGCAATTGTGCCGTGCAGCATTCCCTTTTGCTCTTGCAGAAAGGTCATCCTGTGCTTTCTGTGTTTCTGATGACATTATATTCAGAATGGTGAAGTGGCAGTGGAGCTGACGGCATCCTTTCAGGCTCGCTCATTTGGATTTGGAGTGACCTCTTCTGCTGATACTCGGTTAGATGTAAGTGGTTTTCTCCTTGAGAGCTGTACTGTGTGTGTGACTGTAGTTATTTTGCTCACACCAACACTGATGACATTGTGCAGGTCAAGATTATGCGAGCAGCTGACATTTCTAGTCCATCTATGAATTGTACATTCATGTCACTCTTTCGGATATAAGCGATGGCACATCCTTTGATGCTTCAATCAATTCTACGAGAAATTTCAACAGAATGGAACTCTGTTGTCGTTTGTTTAGGTGGTTCCATGTGTCCACTCACTGTGCCTCTTACACGAGGGAACATTTTTTTATTCGAAACGGGTATTATCGAAGAGAATCTTCGGTGAATCGTCCCCACCGAAATTGGCAAGTTCAACGCACGTCGGTGTCGCTAACGACGGAGTTACCAGCCAAAGTTCTTCGCGGGGCCCGCGAACACTTCTTTGATGGTCAGAACTGTCGCTTTCTGACATCGCAGCCGAACTTTTGATGTTCTGCCAAAGGCGTGTACAAAGTGCTGCACAAACTCGACGTCGAGGTACGTCGGTGAATCCTGACGGTTGGAACCTTTGATCCGAGGGTGGAAATTCACCGACGTTGCTCGACGTCGAGTTTTTGGGCACTTTGCACACGCCATAACAAGCATGTGGCATTCCATGCCATACATCGTGCGCTGCAGCCAGAACAGTAAAACTAGGTGTTTTATTCACTAGTACGCCTGCTACAGCATTAGTGTATGGGGGTTACTACATTATGTAGTGAATAGCTGAAACGTCAGCCATTGTTTCAACCATTCTTTGGCTCTCTTAGGTAGTGCCAATAGAGAGTAAGTTATTCTGTTGTGTAAGAAAGATGGCGGAGGCAGCGGCTGCAGCAGTGGTATCGCGACGACATCACGACGAGCCAGCAGGCGATTCCGGCGACGCTGGCGACGACATCAACGACGCGTTGGGTCGCAGGAGTCCTAGAGGGAGCGTAAACCGCCATTCCCCAGGGAACTCGCGCTCTTCGCCTAACTCCGGCTCGTTACCCAAGTCCGGTTCGCTTCCAAAGTCACCGTCAGGCGCGCTACTTGATCCCTCCTCGTCCGCTTACTCCGCCGGTCGCTCGTTTCCGAAGTCATCCTCGTTATTAGACGACCCCGCTAAGTTTGAGGCGTATGAGCAGCTCAACCTACACCAGGCGCGTTCTTCGAGGTGAGGACGCTGATTCCATTAAAAATGGTTTGTCTGCATGATATTATCTCGTTTTGCATGAGCTTGTCACCCAACCACCTTCTCACCCTCGTTACCAGCAACCACCATATGTCTGTAACCAGTAACCACCATTTGTCATTCGTGTAACCAGTTACAGCGTGTGTGCTTCGCCTGTGCGTGCAGCTCTGGCAGCAGCAGCGGCCTTCCCAAGCAACACAGCTACACCCGCAATGTCGCCTCCCCCAAATATACTCATGAGGGAACAGGGGCCAATCTGAGGCACCAGGGACCAGGGTCTCTGGAACTATCGGCATTCCCTAGGGAGCCACGATTTCCGGGACCAGAATCACATGAGGGTCGTTCATTGGTTGAAGTTATGGTTAACGGAGGGTTGGAGGGACCAGGGGTAGATCGGGATGGAGGCGGGGCTGGTGTCGTGGATTTTCCAGAATCGTCAGCATCAGGAATCGAACCCGGGTCTGCTGCACGTTCAGGGCATGCATCTGAGCCTGGTTTAGCTACAGCTGTAGAGGCAACAGTGACAGGAACCCCACGCTCCGAACCTCCAGGTTCAGGGCCCCCAGATTCAGGGCCCTCAGGGTCAGGAGGAACCCTAGGCACAGGAACCCTGATCACAAATACCCTAAGCACAGAAACGCTAATCACAAAAGCCCTAAACGCAGGAACCCTAACTCTACAAAAGACGCCTCAATCCTTCCCACGCTCCTCCCTCAGGCATCCGAGCGTTAAGGCTGGCCGCTCCTCCTCCTCCTCTTCCTCTCGAGGGAAGCTGAGTGTGCGGTGGGCTTTGGAGGAGGGAGAGGAGGGGCATGAGGGAGTGGGGAGGAGGAAGAGTAGTGTGGCTCGGGTGGAGGAAGGGGATGGGGAGGAGATGGGTGAGGGGGATGGGCTGATAGGCGGAGAGGGGGGTGAGGGGAGAGAAGAGGAAGGAGGGGTTGAGGGGGACGGAGAGGGAGGGGGAGGGAGGAGGCGGAATGGGAAGCTTTTTCGGATGTTGAGTGCAGATTTTTGCGTTGGAGGGGAGAATGGGGGTAGGAGTGGGGCGTATGGGGGAAGGGGTATGGATGAGGGGAGCAGGAATTGGGGGAGAGGGGGGAGAAGTATTGGAGGAAGGGGGGGATGGGGAGGGTCAATGGGTTGGTGGCGGGGTTGGGGGAGAGATGCAGCAGAGGGAGGGGATGTGAGTGATTGGGGGGAAGGAGGGTCAGGAGGAAGCGGAGGACGAGGGGGAGGAGGAGGAGGCGGAGGAGAGGGAGGAGTGGGAAGCAACATGAAGGGGATAGTAGGAGAGGGAGTGGCTCTTTTAGATGATGAGGAGGTGGAGAGGATGGATGACGAGGTGATTCAAGGTACGTACCTGCACAAGGGTTTCACTTTCACCTGTTGGTGAGGGTTTTATCTGCAGGAGGTCACTTATGCAGTTCATTTAAACTGCCTCTAGTGTGAAAAGCTGCTGTTTATGACGCGCCTCAGCGATTTTAATACAAGCTACATCAGGATGGATAAGGAGGCACAGACGCAGCTGCACTACGACAAAAACCTGCTCCCCATCCCTTCCCTTTCCGCCACCTTCCGCACCCCCCCCTTCCCCCTCTCCCCTCTCCCCCCCTTTGCTCGCTTGCAGCCTTGTTCGAGCGAGTGGTGGAGGCACAGACGCAGCTGCACAATTATAAGAACCTTGTCGCCTTTTCACTCTTCACCGCGCTCTACCTCCTCATGCTCTGTCTTCAGGTGCCTTCAGGTGTCTTCAGGTGCCATCAGGTGCCATCAGGTGCCATCAGGTGCCTTCAGGTGCCATCAGGTGCCATCAGGTGCCTTCAGGTGCCAATCCTCGCCATGCGTGAGTCATCCTGTTGACTTTCTCTCCTCTCGGCTTGCTTGTTGATTTCAACAGGAGAAAATGCTTCTCCCATCGTTGGCTTGTTGCACCCTCACTCACGATCTCCCTCACTCACGAGTCACGCCCCCCTTCTCTCACATCCTCCTCCCCGTCTCATTCATCCCCTCACCAGGCTCAGTCATTTCAGAGCTACCAGGTGGCCTCAGCCCACTCCATCCTCCTGCCGCCTGTATGCCCTTCCTCCCTCTCTTCCCTTCTCCTCCCTCTCTCCAGTATCCTCGTGTTGAACAGCTCCCGTAACTTTGTTCTCTAGCTTTCCTTGGCCCCATTCCATAACCTATGGATGTTCAGACCCTGGCCTTGTGCTTCGTGTGTGTGTGTGTGTCTGTGTGTGTGTGTATGTGTGTGTGTGTGTGTGTGTGTGTGTGTGTGTGTGCCTGTATGCATGTGTGATTCTGAGGCAGGACTACTCAGGGGACTCAAGCTACTCCTTTGCCAGCAGCAGCGACTTCTACACCTGGCTTAACAACAGCATCATTCAGGTGGGTCCATTCCACAGGGTTATTGCCCCACCGTGGGCCTGAACTGTTAGGGTGGTTCGCCACTGCCCTAGTGTCTACCGGCCTGCGCGCCTGACCTAGGGACGGTAGAAGAACTCTAGGAACGGTGGGAACTACGACCTAATATGGGGAACCGGTACCTAGAACGGTGGGGCTGCATGCTAAGTAGTTACGAGAGGAAAACGTGAGGAAAGTAAGGGAAAACGGAATGACTGAGAAATAGGGTTCGGGAAATGTCGAGAAGACATTTCCGAAGCCTAGAATGTCCAACCGAAACCGAACCATGTTCGGTGCGGAAGGGACAAACGGGTTTCGGTTCCGGTGACGGTTACCGAATTCGGTTACGCGTGCGACTCGGGCTGAAACGCGGATGACGCGTTACGCGAGGCGCACATCACATTTCGAAATGCTTAAATGTGTTTGTTTTCAATCAGTTGTTTGTACTTCTCTGTTTTCAGTGAAAATTGCACCAGAAAACCAGAATTTTCTCCAAGTGACTACTAATCTCCAACGCTAGCCGGAGGCTATACCTAAACTTAGAGCTGGTATCAGAGCTTGGTTATCGTCGCGTCGAGCCTCATTATAAAAGCCTTGGAGGCGTTATAATTTTTTAGAGTAATTGGAGAGGGCGAATATTCAACGACATGGGGAAAGGAGATGGAGAGACCAGTTCAGGGTCTTCAGTGAACACTGACGGTGCGCAGCTGCAGAGTCTACTCGATGCCCTTGCCAAGGGGCAAATCGTGGCCAAACCGACAATTGGCCTAAGTGAAGCTCAACGCTTCAATGGAGAGAACTACGGCACATGGAGGCTGAAGTTCATGCGACGCGCCCGGGAGGTAGATTTGTGGCATTTCTACAACCCAGAGGCAGCGACGGAGGAAGATGGACCTGCACCTGCAACCGCACAAGAGAAAAAAACGTTCAAGAAAAGAAGCCAACAAGCTTTCTTTCAACTCTGCCATTCGGTCTCGGATTCAATCGCAGCACGACTCGACCCGTTCTCTGAGGAGGACAACGCAGCAGAGAAGGCGTGGGCGTACATGGAACGAGTGTACCTCGGGAAAAGCGAGGCAAAGATGACAGCAGTGAGGACGAAACTCATATTGCTGGCCATGGAACCTTCCGAGACGGTGGTGGACTACGTGGGCCGTGCTAAAGGCTACAACGACAACCTGACGGCTATGGGAGTGCCCGAATCGGAGAAGCAAATGATGAGCTACATCATTGGCGGCCTACCGAAATCATGGGCAGCAGAGAAGCGGATGCTGGCCTGCAGACGCCCTACAGACATGACGGACCTGGTGGAGTCCCTTCAAGACGTTGCGCTGATACGTGCTGAGGAAGAGCGAAGGGAGGCGCTGCCGGACAACTTCAGCAACAACAAACATGCCATGTTGAACGCAACTGGGGCAGGAAAATCATTCGGAGTTTGCTTCCACTGTGGGAAGAAAGGGCACAAGGCTGCCGAGTGTTACTCCAACCCAAGAAGCAAGAATTTCAGAGGTACGGCAGCAGTTAGGCAATCTGCCAATGAGGAAACAAGCGTAGGAGGACAACGACAGCGAGGCGGATTTGCTGGAAACTGCAACCACTGCGGGAAATTTGGTCACAAGGCAATCGATTGCTACAGTAACCCAATGAGCAAGAGCTTTAGGGGAGGGCAGCAGCAGCAAAGGAATCACGTACCTGTGAAGATCAACGCCACCGAAGCGGAAACCAGCGACGACGACGTCATCCTCGGGGGAGCCCACAAGGCCAATGTTGCAAGAGCATCCGGAGCATGCCTGCTTGCAAAGGGCCTCAAAGGCAAGGAGTGGTACATGGATAGTGGATGTACCCAACACATGACCAATCGGAAGGAGTGGCTGCAAAATTTCAGAGCATCACCGATCCCGTACGTGCTGTTGGGAGACGAGGGGAAACTTCCTGTGAAAGGGGAAGGAGATCTAGTGCTGCAAAGTGCTTATGGTGAGGTGAAACTGGACAACGTGCTGCTGGTGGACAAGCTCACACTCAACCTCATAAGCCAATCGCAGTTGGACAGCGGTGGGTGCGAGACTTTCAGTGACAAGGGCAGCATATGGGTGTTCGGTTCGGATTGGAAGGTGATAGCGGAAGGATCACGCAAGCAAGGGCTGTACGAGATGAAGCTGCACGAAAAACAGAGTGGGGAGAAGCCCACGTACATGGCTGAACCGGAAGCGGGCAAGGTGGCACGAGATGAGCTACGCACCAAGTTGAAAAAAGTTCCGATCAAGGAGCTGCAGCAGCAGGCGCTTCCTATGGCTGCAGCAGTGAGCACGGTAGACGTCAACCTGCTGCACAGGAGGATGGGGCACGCTGGTCACACTCGAATCAAGCAGCTGGTCAAGAAGAACATGGCAGCAGGAGTGAAGGTAGCCGAGGGTGGAGAGGAAAATCTGAAGTGCAGCACTTGCGTGGAATCAAAGGCAACAAAGGCACCACATCCCAAGCATGGAGTCCGTGAGCCATACGAGACAATGGCTATTGTGGCAGCCGACGTATGTGGACCGATGCGAGTGGCTTCACGACATGGCAGCAAATATTTCGTTACCTTCACCGACCTTGGCACACGACACACATGGGTCCCATACACTCCTCAACACAACAGCATTGCGGAGCGGGTGAACCGATCACTGCTGGAGGGTGTGAGGAGCTTGCTCGCGGACAGCAAATTGCCCCTTCACTACTGGGGAGATGCACTAGGCATGTCATTTTGGCTGAAAAATTGGCTACCGACAAAGGGATTAGCGGCGGACGTTACCCCTCACGAGGCGTTCTACAAGAGGAAGCCGAATCTGGAGTTCTTACGTGTTTGGGGCTGCATGACGCAATACCGAGAGGCGGCGGGACCCGATCACAAGCTTCTCCCTCGGACCAAGTGGGGAATTCACTTGGGAATCTGCCCGGAGAGCAAAGGGTGGGTGATACGCGATGTGGAGACTGGAAAAGTCACGGCGACCAGAGATGTTACCTTCTACGAGCAGGACACCTACTTGGAGTGGAAGGGACGGAAACAAGGAGCTGTTGCAAAGAAAGCGGCAGCAGCACCAACTCCAGTGGAGGAGATGATAGATGGGAGTGAGAAGAGGGGATAGGGGCAGCCAATGGAAGCGGTGACAATGACGACTACGAAGACCACACTACACCGGGTTTCGACTGGGTGTGGGAGGTCCAGGAGCTAACCTCACCTTCAACTGCCGTGGAAGAGGGTGAAGAAGAAAATGATAAGGGAGAAGAAGCGGGTGACAGCGCAACGAATGAAGCCGGTGAGGAAGAAGCTGAGATTTCTGATGTGGAAGAGAGTGTGGCTGAATCTGCCAGCACGGGGTACTCCGACCCATGGCGCATCATTGACACGGGGGACAATGAAAAGGCGGCAGCAGAGATTGAAGACCTACTTGTGGACGGAGCGATCATCATCGGAAGAGAGATTGAAGGAGATTCCGTGCAACAAGGAACGGATGATAATGCAGCAGCAGAGAAAGGTGGAGCTGAAAATGAGAATGAGGAGATGGGCAAAGGGAAACGGGTCAAGAAACCCAACCTCAAGTATGCCCAAATGCTTCTGACCTGCTGCAAGGACATTCACACCCACCTCCTCTTTACCACTACGGCAACGGCACTTCTATCAAAGGGGAAGGTGGAAAGCTACAAGCTGCCCACCGAGCCTCTCACCATTGAAGAGGCACTGTCCGGACCGAACAAGGAGCAATGGAGGGCTGCAATCCAGGAGGAACTTGATACCTTGGCTGAAAGGGGGACATGGGAGCTTGTGAACATGCCCGAGGGGAGGAAAGCAGTGGGAGTGCGCTGTATTTTCAAGATCAAAACAGGAGACATGGGACAACTTGAGCGTTTCAAGGCACGACTTGTGGCTAAAGGCTACACTCAGGTGGAAGGAGAGGACTACGACCAACTCTACGCACCCGTTAGCAAATTAACAACGGCAAGAATCATGCTAAAGGTGGTGACGGCACGCGGGTACTTCATGGTGCAGCTGGACATAAAAAATGCCTTTCTCTATGGCATTTTGAAGGAGACTATCTACATGAATCAGCCACCGGGGTGTGAGGACGGCACGGACAGAAAGTGCAAGCTCATCAAAGCACTTTATGGGCTGAAACAAAGCCCACGGGAGTGGTACCTAGCCATGGACGCACAGCTGGAAAAGGGGGGGTTCATCAAGAGCTAATGTGACCGTGCATTCTACTGGAAGGGAGAGGGGGAAAACAAGGTGTTCCTACTCCTCTACGTGGATGATATCCTAGTGGCTGGAGCAAAGGAGGAGAAGGTGGAGGAGGTGTGCACTCACCTCGCAGCTGTATTTCAGGTGAAGAAGATTCCAAGGACCACTCTCTTCCTTGGAATGAACATAGAGAGGAATAGGGAGGAGAAAAAGTTGCTGCTATACCAGAAGAAGTACTTTCAGAGGTTGCGGGAGAGGTTTGGAGGGCATTGCAAGACTAAACCAGTGACAACACCTCTCAGCAGCCTTGCGGACAAGGAGGTCGATGTGGGAGCAGAAATTGAGGCATGGGGCAACAGGGAGAGAGCGCTCAAAGCTTACCAATCCATGGTAGGCTCAGTCATGTACCCGGTGTCATGCACACGGGTTGATGTGGCCTATGCTACAAGCTTTCTTGGACAGAGGGTGTTGCAGCCCGAGGGACGCAAGTGGAAGGAAATTGAGCGGACCATCACTTACCTCTTGCAGGGGGATGATGAGGGGCTGCTGTTTGAAGGGGGAGAGGAGAGTCTAGAGCTAGTGGGGTACGCTGACGCCTCACACGGATCAGACAAGAAGGATGGGAGGGGAGCCTATGGCTATGTTTACCTCCTTGGCGGTACAGCAATCATGTGGCAAGCCAAGAAGCTCACCGACGTCGCTCTGTCCACCGCGGAGTCTGAATATATGGCGCTGTTTTATGCATGCCAAGAGGGTGTGTGGCTGAGGCGCTCACTTCAAGAGATGGGGGTCAAAGTGGAAGGACCTACAACAATCAAATCGGACAACAAATCAGCGATTGACCTCGCACGAAACGACAACTGGCATGGGCGCACGAAACACATGAACGTGAGGTACCATTGGGTACGGGAGCAGCTACAGAAGAAGGCATTCACCTTCGTGCACGTGGGAACACATGAGCAGCCAGCGGATTTCCTCACCAAGGTGCTACCGAAGGCAAAATTCGAGTTCTGCAAGTATTTTGTCGGCATGCGCACCCTCAAGGACTTGCAAGGGAGCAGCGGAGCAGCAACACGAGATACTACACCACCTTACGGTTGGGATCAGCAAGGGAAGAAGAAGGCGGGTTACATTGTAACCACTGGAGCATAGGAGGGTGGCAGCTGGCAAACCACGGGGGAGATTGTTAGGGTGGTTCGCCACTGCCCTAGTGTCTACCGGCCTGCGCGCCTGACCTAGGGACGGTAGAAGAACTCTAGGAACGGTGGGAACTACGACCTAATATGGGGAACCGGTACCTAGAACGGTGGGGCTGCATGCTAAGTAGTTACGAGAGGAAAACGTGAGGAAAGTAAGGGAAAACGGAATGACTGAGAAATAGGGTTCGGGAAATGTCGAGAAGACATTTCCGAAGCCTAGAATGTCCAACCGAAACCGAACCGTGTTCGGTGCGGAAGGGACAAACGGGTTTCGGTTCCGGTGACGGTTACCGAATTCGGTTACGCGTGCGACTCGGGCTGAAACGCGGATGACGCGTTACGCGAGGCGCACATCACATTTCGAAATGCTTAAATGTGTTTGTTTTCAATCAGTTGTTTGTACTTCTCTGTTTTCAGTGAAAATTGCACCAGAAAACCAGAATTTTCTCCAAGTGACTACTAATCTCCAACGCTAGCCAGAGGCTATACCTAAACTTAGATGAACGAGCTCAAAGTTGACTAAGAAATATCCTGGATAGGAGCACTACAAACTGATTCTCGTGTCTGCCTGTCCGACTGCTCCCAGAATGATCCTAAGCCAGCACAAACCCTCTCTCCTCCCTCCTTGCAGGTCATATGGTCGGATCCTCAATGCGGCGACGGCACATGCACACCCCCAACTGAATTTCCTGCAGTGGGCCGATTTGGCTGTGCCCAAGACTGTGGTAACGCGCGTAACGTTACAACGGTGACGGTGGCGCTGCGATGTCACTTTGCATCGAGGGAAGCTATGGTTAGCAGCTCCTGGAACCTCTGCTCTACTGCTATCAGAGATGTGTGCTGGTGAGCCCTCTCTCTGTACCAGAGTGAGTGTGTGGGAAAGCGTGAGCGGGCGTGTGGGGGTGGGAAGGTGGTGACGGTGGCTCTGCGGTGCCACTTTGCATTGAGGGAGGCCATGGTTAGCAGCTCCTGGAACCTCTGCTCTACTGCTATCCGAGATGTGTGCTGGTGAGTTCCCTCTCTGTACCTGTGTGAGTGAGTGTCTGCGTGGCTGTGTATGAGCGAGTGTGGCGATGGTGTGGTGACGGTGGCGCTGCGGTGCCACTTTGCATTGAGGGAGGCCATGCAGAGCAGCTCCTGGAACCTCTGCTCCACTGCCATCCGAGACGTGTGCTGGTGAGAGTTTCTCTCTGTACCAGGGTGAGTGTTTGGAATTGCGTGTGCAGGCGTGTTTGGGTGGGAAGGAGGTGACGGTGGCATTGCGGTGCCACTTTGCATCGAGGGAGGCGATGCTTAGCAGCTCGTGGAACCTCTGCTCCACTGCCATCCGAGACGTGTGCTGGAGAGTGAGTGAGTGAGTGAGTGTGTGCGTGTGTGGAGTGGGAGGATGGCGGTGGGGTGGTGACGGTGGCCCTGGGGTGCCACTTCACATCAAGGGAGGCCATGATGATGAGCAGCTCGTTCCTTCTCCCCCTCCCCGCTTTTCTCGTTCTTCCCCCACACCAGGTTCCAGGACCCCCAGCTATTCACAGAGTTCACGGGCTGGCACACGGTCACAGTGCGCCTGCCAGACAACGACTGGTACGTTGCTGGTGAATGGGAGAGAGTATGTGCTAAGATACACACCCTCTCCCCTCCCTCACACCCGTTCAGGTTCCAGGACCCCCAGCTATTTATCGAGCTGAAAGGCTGGCACACGGTCACAGTGCGCCTGCCAGACAACGACTGGTTCGTCTCCCTCCCCTCCTCTCCTCCTCTCCTCCCTCCCGCACATCAGGTTTCAGGACCCCCAGACATTCACGGAGCTGACAGGCTGGCACACAGTCACAGTGCGCCTGCCAGACAACGACTGGTTCGTCTCCCTCACTGCTCCCACCGGGGGCGTGGGCGTCTATGTCTATGAGTCCCTAGGGAAGAAGACCACAGGCGCTTCAGAACCTGGCACAGACTCCTCCTCTGGTGTTAACAGCTCAGGCTCAGCTGCTGAAGGCTCGGTGATGATATCAGCACCGCCGCCACTGCCACCGCCGCCACCCCCTGTTTCCACCGCCCCTGCCCCAGCCCCCTTCCGACTGCCCTCCTCGCGTGTCTCCCCCTCCGCCTCTCCTCCACCCGCCTCGCCCACCGCTTCGACTTTTGAGTCGACTCAAAAGTCAACTCCTCCACCCGCCTCGCCCACCGCTTCGCCTTTTGAGTCGACTCAAAAGTCAACTCCTCCACCTGCCTCGCCCACCGCTTCGCCTTTTGAGTCGACTCAAAAGTCAACTCCTCCACCCGCCTCGCCCACCGCTTCGCCTTTTGAGTCGACTCAAAAGTCAACTCCTCCACCCGCCTCGCCCACCGCTTCGCCGTCCACAAAGGAGTATCTGCGGCCTTCCAACGGCACGGGGGCGAATGTGCTGCTGGCGAGCGTGGATGGGTGTGTGGAGGACGGCGAGAGCGGTCTGCAGCGGTGCAGACAGGTACGGTGTGGTGGTGAGGTGTTGGACGCGGTGCATGTGCAAGCAGGGGTTTGCAGCGGTGCAGACAGGTATGATGCAGTGGAGAGGTGCTGAAGACGTGCATGCTGCGGTGCGGTGCAGACAGGTGCAGTGCGTGGTTATGTCATTGTGAGCACTCTGCTCTCCCTATTCCTCCCTCCCGTCTCCTCACTTCCCTCTCCGCTCTCCTCTCTCCCTCACGTCTCCCATGCCCCAGACCTGTGCCATATGGACTATCTGTCTCCCGCAACTGTGCACCAGAAGCAGCAGCAGCACTGGCAACACCACCAACAGCACCAGTCCTCACTCACTCCCTTCTCTTCACTCCTCTCCCTCGCGTCTCCCATGCCCCAGACCTGTGCCATATGGACTATCTGTCTCCCGCAACTGTGCACCAGAAGCAGCAGCAGCAGCACGGGCAACAGCAGCAGCAGCGCCGCAAGCACCAGTCCTCCCACGACTCTGCCCGTGCGTGTGGCATCTGCAGCGCTAGGCAGTTGCTTCCAGGCGTGCAACATCATGCTGCCAGGGACCACCTTCGACCCCCCTGACAGCATCACCTGCTCCCAGGTGAGATCAGACCCCTCACACACGCATTCCCTTTGCATGCTTCCATTTTGGTCTTCGATGTGTCTCGGATGTGCTTGGTGCTCTCAGGGGTTCATACTTTCAACTGCAGTCCTGTTCCTACCGTCCCTCCTGCCCCTCACCTCCTTGCCTTGCCCATACCCTCCTCCGGTGTCCCCCTTCTTTCCCTCCCCATACAACGCTGTTCCCGCCAGGCGTTCACTGTCTTCGAGGCGTCTCTGCAAACACCCTCATGCACTGGTGCTCCCCCTGCCCCTCACCTCCGCCCTTGCCCATACCCTTCCCCTGCCATGTCGTCATATCCTGCTGCACTCTCTGCCGCTTCTCCTACCACCACTTCTCCTTTGCCTTGTGCCTGCCTGCCAGACGCCTTAAACACACACACCATCACCTACGTCCTCTGATCCTACCACGTGTGCCCTGTATGGATGTGCGCAGATATGCTCTCAGAGTCCCCTGCAGCAGCAGCATCCCAGCCACCTACAACAGCAGCGGCACCGACAGCACCAGCAGCAGCAGCACCAGCAGCAGCAGCACCAGCAGCAGCAGCACCAGCAGCAGCAGCACCAGCAGCAGCAGCACCAGCAGCAGCAGCACCAGCAGCAGCAGCACCAGCAGCGCCAGCAGCAGCAGCACCAGCAGCAGCAGCACCAGCAGCAGCAGCACCAGTAGCAGCAGCACCAGCAGAGGCAGCAGCAGCAGTGGACGCACCAGAAGCACCAAGTTCCCTGTCTGCTCGTTTGCTACTAGAGTCGTCTGCTCACAGCAGCAGCGCCAGCAGCAGCAGCCACTTGCAACAAGCACCTCTTCAAGTCACTCCGTGTGACCCTTCCAGCACCAGTCTCCCAACCAACACCCCAGCCGCTCCCTGTGTGCACAGCCGTGTCAGCTCCTCTGCTCCTGAAGCGCTCCCCATGTCCTCCCCGCACCCCTCTTGGCCTGCCGGGTCTCTCTTGGATCCCTGGGCTGGCATGGCGTCAGTGCAGCTGGTATGTACTCTGAGGCAAGTTCTTCCCATGCTCTCCTTCAGTCCAGGTATGTGCTGGTTTGACGATCCTCTGTCTTTGGTTGTCAATGCGTTGTCTCGGTTATGATATCCTTTGTCATCGGGGCGTTTAAGATGATCCCGTCAACCCCTCCTCTTTTTGACCCTAATTGTGTTTCCTGATTACACTCCACGTCGTCTCCATGCCCGCGTGTCTCCCTCCCTGCCAGCACCACCAGCAGCTGAGGCAGAAGCTAAAGGAAGAACGGGTCAGTGCTCCCTCCTTCCACGCTTCCAGTCTCCACCACCCCCCTAGTCTCCACGCTCCTCCTCACAAGAGTGCCGGTGCTTTTCGCTCCAGCCGACAGCTCTTCCCCTCTCCACCGACCTCCTCATTCCTCCCAGGTGAATTTTGATGCGCCTCCCACCCCCCCTCTCCCTCCCCCCCCCTTCCCAGCTTCCTCTTCCCACCAGCCACCGAAGCTGCCTCCTTGCACCTCACCCACCCTTCCATCCCCTCATCCTCACCCATTCTCCCCCCCACCCCCTCCAGCCACCTCCTCCCAGCCAATCGCAGAAGCCCAGCGGCTCGTGTGGGAGAGCCTTGGGACGACAGACGGAGAGCGAATCAGGGCGTGCCAGGTGGCGGTGGCACGGGCGCTGTACACCGCAGTGAAGGAGAACTGCCTGGCCGGGCCGACAGCTGGCGGCAGCAGTGACAGTGGTGGCAGTGGCAGTGGCAGTGGCAGTGGCAGTGGCAGCAATGGCAGCAGTGGTAACAGCAGCAGTGGCGGTGGTAGTGGCAGCAGCAACGATAACAACAGAAGCAGCACCACCAGTAATAGCAGCAGCTTGGAGCAGTCGTCCCCAGCCAAGAGCCTCTCCCTGGCCTCGCGCAATCGCCTCGTTGCCTTCCTCTGCACGCTCTTCGCTGGGCCTTTCACCTCCCACCCTCACTGCAACTTCACGGACGCTTTCTTCAGGCGGCAACTGACGGATCATGCAGAGCTGGTGGATTACATTCGAGCAACGCACCGCAGGTAAGGGAAGGATGGTGTGCGCTCAACCTCAACTATATGCAATTAGTGGCAAGGGGTTTATCCACCAGGCTCCTTCTCATTATCCACCATCCTTCCTCTCCCAAAACCTTTTCATCTCTCCCTCCTCTCATGGCCATCCCAGTTCTCCCCCCTCCCTTCCCCTACTCCACCCGTTCTCTTCTTTCTCAGTCCCTCCCGGCGCTTCTCTGCCGCCCAGCAGGCTCTTTTCGTCCGCATCCTCGTCATGGCGCTGCAGTCAGTCGTGCAGAAGATGCCGAGCGATGCCGTCCAGGCTGCCACCCACTTGCTGCACATCTTCAACGACGCAGTGGTCTCGCCAGACGCCTCGCCGTGCCCCCAAGGTGCATCTCTCTTTCTGTTGCTCTCAAGTGCCCCTATGATCTTCCCAGGTGCTCCTGCTGTTGGTCTCAGGTGCTCTCTGTTTTTCTCAGGTGCTCCTGCTGTTACCCTCAGCTTCCTGTCTGTTTCTCCCTCACGTGCTTTTGTAATAACTCCTCGTCAGGGCGCAAGCGTTTCGAAGAGCCTTGCGCGTCCCAAGTGGGTGCTTTTGTAATAACTCAAGAGCTTCCTCCTCTCCCTACAATCCTTCTCTCCTCCCTCCCCGGGTCCCCCTCCTCTCCCCCAGCGGATTTTATGGTTCTATGGGACTCTGCGTCCTTCACCCGCCGCGCCATATCAGACGGGCAGCGGGTCACGTGGGTGTGGAACGACGACGACTACCACGAGCTCTCAGGTGTGGCGAGCAAGGGTAGGGAGGAGAGGGAGACGGGAGAGGTGCAGCAGTGCCCTGCCCTTCGCTTGTGAATCTTTGATTTGATGTGGTGGGCCTCTGCCCATCCCATGCCCACGTGGGTAGGTGTGGAACGGCGACGACTACCACGAGCTCTCAGGTGCGGTGCAGTGAAAATTGCACAGGGTCCTCTCTCTTTTACTCTTTCACTGGGTTCACTGCAGGGTTGGTGGGCACATGCATTCTACTCCATCTGACGCTCCGCATGCATTTGTTTGATTTTTCTTCCTCTTTCGTCCCTCACTGCAGCATGGGCGGGTTCGGAGCCGTTTCTTGGGTTTGGAGCGGGGCGGCTCGGCCTATCACGGCTTGCCACATGTGCATGGGATAACATTGGGCCCAGAGATGCCTCGGATGAGCCTGCGCCATGCGTGCTGCGTGAGTGGTGACGTGGCATGCCATGCTGGCATATGGTGACATGGCATGCATATGTGAACGTCTGTTATATCTTTTCAATGCCGTTTGCACTTAAACACCAGGTTTGTTGCCATACCTCCCTCAAACACCCCTTCATCTCCCCCTACTATCTCACTGTCCTCAACACCCCTCATTTTCGCACTACCTCTTTTGTCCTCCATTAACCCTCAACCACTCCTCATGCCTTTTGTTGAGGTGCCTGAAGAAGTCTGTTTAAGGTTTCTCAAGAGTCCCAAAGCACTCCTCACCTCACCCCACCCACCACGCCTTCCCTGCAGGTTCTCCCGACGACACATCACCTCCCCAATTCGCATACACCAAGGTGTTTGGCACTGCGTGCTTGTTATTTGCGATATCATAGAAATTTTGTCTTTCAACTCATTCCTTCTTGCACCCTCCCCTGCAGGCTCTCCCGACGACTCATCACCGCCCCAGTTCGCATACACCAAGGTGTTTGGCACGGCTCGAGACATAGCTGTGAAGGACTCGCCTCAGTCACTCGCATTCACCCTCATCCGCGCCAGGAATGATTCAGGTGCGCGCATGGGTGCATGGATGCGTGGGTGTATGGGTCCAGGCTTGCATGTGGGCATGACTCCAGAAGTGTGGTGCATGGGTGTTAGGCACGGCTCGAAACATGAAAGTGAGGGACTCCCCTCTGTTACACGCATTCACTCTCATCCTGCAACGTCACCCTCTATGGATGCACATAACTCAACCTTGCAATATGCCCCTCTGCAGCTTCTGACTCTTTCTCCGCCTTTCCCAACCATTTCCTAATGGTCATGGTAATGGTAATGATAATGGTAATGGTAATCGTAATGGTAATTGTAATGGTAATGGTAATGGTAATGGTAATGGTAATGGTAATGGTAATGGTATTGATATTGGTATTGGTAATGGTAATGGTATGGTAATGGTAATGGTAATGGTAATGGTAATGGTAATGGTTGATAATGGTAATAGTGGTAATGGTAATGGTAATGGTAATGGTAATGGTAATGGTAATGGTAATGGTAATGATAGTGGTAGTGGTAGTGGTAATGGTAATGGTAATCGTAATGGTAATGGTTGATAATGGTAATGGTAATGGTAATTGTAATTGTAATGGTAATGGTAATGGTTGATAATGGTTATGGTAATGGTAATGTTAATGTCGCTGCTACCAGCCCTGCAACGTCGCTCTCTGTGGCTTTGACGGGGGTGTGGCTCTCTGTTTATTGAGGCGTCTCAAAACCCAACCCTGCACCGTGCTTTTTTGCACCTTCTGACTCCTCTCCCCTTCTCTCAACCATTGCCGGCCCCCCATCCCCTCCCTCACACCACCAGCACCCCAGCCCCGCGACTCTCTCCCCCCCTACGTGCTCCTCCTCGCCTCCCTCTGTGCGCCTGCCTGCCGTCTCGTCTCGCCATGCTGGCCAACGGTCGCTGCGACCAGCAAGTACCCCTTTGCACCTTCTGACTCCTCTCCCCCTCTCCCAACTCTTTCCTGTTCCCCCTACCCCCCACCACCAGCACCCCAGCCCCGCGACTCTCTCCCCCCCTACGCGCTCCTCCTCGCCTCTCTCTGTGCGCCGGACTGCCCGTCTCTCCATGCTCGCCAACGGCCGCTGCGACCAGCCCTGCAACGTGGCTCTCTGTGACTTCGACGGGGGGGACTGCGCTTGCGGCGGCGCTGGCAGCGGGAGGATTGGGAAGGCAGCGTGAGCAGCGGCAGTGGATTGCTGCTGGTGCTGGGGGGTGGGGATGTGGGAGAGGAGGCAGCGGCAGTGGCAGCAGTGGCGGTGGTGCGAGTGCGGGTGGGAGTGTGGGAGGAGGAGTGGGTGTGCAGTGGTGCACATGTCCTGTGTTGCAGATACGGGGCGATGATGGAGGTACGCGCGTGCAGTTGTTTGTTAGGCTGCTCAGAAGGTAAATGATTTATACTTTCCCTAGGCTTAAGTGGTCCAAACCCGTGAATTGTTTAGATGAGCGGAGGAGGCCCTTTATCAGTGGCTTTTGAGAATTCCCAAAGATGGCTTCACAGCATTCGGTCTTTCTCTTTCACTCTTTTTTCTCTGGCCTCCCTTCCTCCATCACTCAGCGTGCTGTGAAGCAGCAGGAGCAGGCACGGGCATCAAGGTCCCCTTCAGTCTGCAACGATTCGGCCCCACAGTGCATCCCCTCCTCTCCACTCTCGGCAGCACCGCTACTGCTCTGCCTCGTGTTGTGTCCCAATACAACAGGTTCGTGTTTTGAGACGTCTCAAAACTTGTGTTGGTCCCAATGCAATAGGTTCGTGGCCACAGCCTCTCCTGTTTTGCAATTAACGCCGTGTTCTTGTTCTGCAATCTCTTTATTTCTATGCATGCTGCCCCTTTCCCTCTCCTGTAACTCCTGCCTCTTCAGCCCCCCCCATGTGTCCCTCCTGAACCTCCTTCCTATCCCCTCCCCTCGCCTCAGTGTGCTGATGGGTTTCACTATCGTGCAATACCTCTGGCACTCCTCCCGCTCTGATTTGAAGCCAAACCAAAGAAGCAGAGTGTGATGCTTGCTGTGAGCCAACCAGAACCATAGCTGCGTGCTCTGCATCCTGCCTGATTCCTGTCCTGTCTTTCCCTCTCCTGTCTCTCCTGCCTCTCCTGCCTCTCCCGCCCCTCGTGCATCTCCCGCCTCTCCGTGCTCTCCCCCCCGCACAGGGTGCTGATGGGTCTCATCATCGTACAATACCGCTGGGACTC